CATGATTTCCATCCGAGAAGAGATTGCCGAGATCGAGGCGGGTCGCATGGACAAGTCCGTGAATCCCCTCAAGATGTCTCCCCACACCCAAGCTCAAGTCATCTCGGATAAATGGGATCGACCCTACACTCGGGAGCAGGCTGCTTTCCCAGCTGTAAGTATAAACACTCATAGAATTTTTTGCCTAATTTAATTTGCCTTTTTTTACAGATCTTTGTGAAACCAGATGCCAAGATCTGGCCCACTGTGGGCAGGATCGATGATGCCTATGGCGACAAGCATCTAGTGTGCACCTGTCCGCCTATATTGCCTGATTTATAAGGCACTTTAGATCTAAGACAAACCTAACACGCGATTGTTGACACTTACTTTTTAATGAAACCAAATAAAGTACCTTTTGTATAATACTTATTTAAATAGTTTTACTAAACTTGGCCTTTTTATAACAGTAAATTAATTTTGATGGTTAAGACATCTTAAAAATTAAAATACTGATAATATTAACTATATAAATGCAATATGTTTTGAAAGAATATTTCAAACTAATTTTTTTTACAAAGTACATTACTTATATTTCGTTTTCTTGGCTTTAGATTCAATTTTAGTATCCTTTACATAGTTTCTATACTGTTTGTTCAAAGTATTTACATTATTTGCGGGTATGGTCCACTCAATTGTCTTAGACTGCTTTGTAGGATCGGATGATTCGGAATAGTCGGGTATTTCGACTCCCAATAGTTTGCAAACCTTGGACAAAACCACATCCACATAGCTGGATATGATTAAATTCGCCTTTTTGTCATGTTTTGTAGGTTGTAGATTGCAAATTACAAATTTACCACCTCGTTTGAGATTTTTCAAAGGAAGATCACCACTGGGAACGATTTGTAAAGTGGTTCCAAGAGCAATATTCAAGTCAGCGATGGTGGAGTGCATCAGACCCATCTCAAGGTCGTTTTCGGGAAGATCATGTTCCCAATCCAGAACGTTATCGTATAGGATTCCCGATCGGCAGCTGCGACCCTTACTATCCATAGAAGATTTGCAGGGGCGATCCAGAGACTTTTGACCCACTGTTTCCACAGCAGATGAACTCACAAATTGGCGTCTGCATTTCTTACATTGTTCGATGTAAATATTGCCGTGCAATTCCGAAAGGTATTTTCTATTCAGACCGGATTTTAGGTGCAGACCATCAATATTCTGGGAGATCACATACTGCACATAGCCACTTTCGATCAGTGCTATAATGGCCATGTGGGTTTTGGTGGGCCTGGCTTCATCGAAGGAGACGTTGAAGTCCGGCTTCTCGCCCTTCTCCTCCAGGGTCCAAACGCCCTTGGGTCCCCGGAAATCCGGTATCCCTGCCGATGTACTGATGCCAGCTCCCGTGTGCAGGACAACGTGTCCAGATTTCTTGATCAAATCAGCAAGTTCCTGGCACTTTTCAGCCACCACATCTTCGCTGTCGAAGCTCTCGGGCGCTCCCAGGATTCCCTTGTCGTCGTAGGCTGAAAGTCCATCAGCATAGTTGCAGCTCATGGTTTGAGCGAATATTGATTTTATTTATAAGTTCAATTAAACCTTTTTAATATTGATTTGTTTATGTTTTCTTTTGTTGTTTATAATAAGACCATAAAGCAAATGCTGAAAATACCCTTAAACGCGATAAGCTAAATTACAGTATGCACACAAAAAAGTACACACCAATAAACAATAAAATCAGCTTAAAATAATTCAAATAGCTAAAACAGTAATAAACAAATATTAAAACTTAATCGATTCAAGAAAGAGATCTAACGAACGGATTTTTTAAAATGTACATTAATTATTTTTTAAAATAATAATTTTGTTGGTCAGTGTACCGAGTCGACATCCACATGTCGGGATTATCAATCCGCACGGTCACACTCAACCCGCGCTCCTGACGAAACAAAGTGTGCTTCTATTTTCCAATTACCGGCAAATAAAACAAACTTCGTCCAGGGCAACAGGAATTGCTTGTTTGATCGTTACAACGCTTGAGTTCACATCTCCTTCGGGCGAAGAACAGCTGCAACCGGAAACGGGATAACAGAATCACCAACAAGGACACAGACACAGAGGCGCCATGAAGATCGAGGAAGTCAAGAGCACCGTGCGCACCCAGCGCATCGCAGCCCACAGCCACGTGAAGGGATTGGGTCTAGACGAGGTCGGAGCGGCGGTGCACAGTGCAGCCGGATTGGTGGGTCAGAAGGCAGCTCGCGAGGCGGCCGGCATCGTGGTGGATCTGATCAAGTCCAAGAAGATGGCCGGCAGAGCCCTGCTCCTCGCTGGTCCACCTGGTACTGGGAAAACGGCCATTGCCCTGGCCATCGCACAGGAGCTGGGCAACAAGGTGCCCTTCTGCCCCATGGTCGGTTCGGAGGTCTTCAGCAACGAGATCAAGAAGACCGAGGTGCTGATGGAGAACTTCCGTCGTTCCATCGGCCTTCGCATCCGCGAGACCAAGGAGGTGTACGAGGGCGAAGTCACCGAGCTCACTCCAGTGGAGACCGAGAATCCCATGGGTGGCTATGGCAAGGCCATCAGCAATGTGGTCATCGGCCTGAAGACAGCCAAGGGAACCAAACAACTCAAGCTGGATCCCAGCATCTTTGATGCCCTGCAAAAGGAGAAGGTGGAGGTGGGCGATGTTATCTACATTGAGGCAAACAGTGGAGCCGTTAAGCGCCAGGGACGCAGCGACACCTTTGCCACCGAATTTGATCTGGAAACCGAGGAGTATGTGCCGCTGCCCAAGGGCGATGTACACAAGAAGAAGGAGGTTATACAGGATGTCACATTGCATGATCTGGATGTGGCCAATGCTCGTCCGCAGGGCGGCCAGGATGTGCTCTCCATGATGGGGCAGCTCATGAAGCCCAAGAAAACTGAAATCACTGGTGAGCTACGGAATGTTTTATATTTATAAGTACTAATGTGATTTTGTGATACGCAGACAAACTACGCATGGAGATCAACAAGGTGGTGAACAAGTATATTGACCAGGGCATAGCCGAGCTGGTTCCCGGAGTGCTCTTCATCGACGAGATACACATGCTTGATCTGGAGACCTTTACATATCTACACAAGTCGCTGGAATCTCCCATTGCTCCAATTGTGATATTTGCCACCAACCGCGGACGCTGTGTTATTCGGTAAGTGACAGAAAAATGTCAATGTACTATGATCTGTTGTTATGGCAACATAATAGCAAGTTGAAAAAAAGAAAATACCTTTCATGTCTGATATTGACGTGCTTCGTTACTTTTCCCTTTTTCTAGTGGCACCACTGACATCGTCTCGCCGCACGGCATTCCGCTGGATCTGCTCGATCGTCTGCTGATCATCCGCACTCTGCTTTATTCCACCGCCGACATGGAGCAGATCATCAAGTTGCGCGCCCAGACTGAAGGACTTCAGCTGGAGGAGAACGCCTTCGCACGTCTCAGCGAGATCGGGACCAGCTCCACGCTGCGCTACGCCGTTCAGCTCCTCACGCCGGCCCACCAGATGTGCAAGGTGAACGGACGCAGCCAGATTAGCAAGGATGACATTGAAGACGTGCACTCACTCTTCCTCGACGCCAAGCGCTCCTCGAAACACTTGTCCGAGAAGAACAATAAGTTTATGATGTAAGGTTTTCGATTCCAACAAATTTATTATTCCACTTGCACGGATTTCCCAATAAACGAAAGATGAGCAATTCGGTTGTGTTTTTAATTGTTTTGGAATAGGTCTAAACCCTAGTCGTTTTAAAAGTATATGGGAATAATTATTTTAAAACAATAAAATAAAAGGGAAGTCGCGTTTTGAAAATGGCGCCCTTAATATCGTTAAATGTATTGGGCTCATTCCAATCATGGTGTGTACACACTTTAGCAACACGCTGAATTATTGGGAATCGAGATTTGGTCACACTTATTATCTCATCCAAACGTTTTTGACATAATTTTTGTTTAAACTCGTAAATAAAATTTCCCACCGACTTTCTTGACAAACATGGCCTCGTTTGTCAAGTCCATAGTGCTCCTGGCCTCCCTGGTTACATTTGCGTACTCCCTGTACGTGGTGGGCCTCCTGATGCTTTTCCTGTCGACGCCTCGCTCGATTTCGAAGGCTCACACCTGGATTTTCAATTTACTGGACAACAAGTCGCGCCTGGAGACCGCCTATGGTCCCGTGGTGTTCGACACCCTCTACCTGATCGGATTCATCTTCCAGCACAGCTTCCTCAAGTCAGCCCTGGTCAAGAAACTGCTGGCCAACTTGGGTTTGTCGGGGGCTGAGCGTTCTATTTATAGCCTGACGTCATCAATATGTTTACATGTTTGTATACCCACGAATTGGGCTGAAAAAACAGCTAACTAAATCTTTGGATATTTCAGTATTTGATTGTAAACTGGCTGCCCGCAACGTCGATTGTCCTATGGCAAATCGACGTGAACGAGAGTGCTCCTCTTTGGTGGACCTTTGTAATCACTCATGGTATCTGTTGGGTGGTCATTTTTGGCGGCAGTTTGGTGATGGATCTTCCGGAGTTACTGGGCATCAAGCAGGCCTATTATGATCTGAAGGCTTACGGACCGCCCATTAACTACAAATCCGGGGAATTGCGCAATCTCTATGCTCATGTGAGGCATCCATCGTTTGTTGGCCTCTCGGTTATCCTGTTTGCCACCAATGTAATGAGCGTGGATCGCTTGGTCATGGCCCTGCTCCTGACCACCTACATGTACCTGGCCTGGTCCACGGATCGCAAGGATGTGTCCTACCAAAAGCTCCAACTGCAGCGCAAGAAACTCGAACTGAAGGCTCAGTAAACTTAATCTCCATAATGTTCTCACTAAGACTTAGTTGTAATCTGACACGAGTTTGTATTAAATAAGAGTTTTCTAACACTTTTAATCCAGTCATAGTTTTGATGTTCAAATTAGTGAGTAGAATTAAATCTTCAGTTCATTATCTGAATGTTAACTTATGTATTAGCTTATCATTAACCAATTCTAACTCATTCTCACAATAGACGGATCAAAGGGTTGTCCCTTAAAAGGGGAACCCTCGGCATCCCAGGCAGTTCGTAAACGATCCAGGGTCTTAGCTTGTTCTGGGTTGGAGGTCTGGATTTCATTTTGTTCCTTATCTGCTGCCAGTTGCTGGACCCTGAGTTTTTCAATGGTGGCCTGGGTATCCTCCGGTAAGTCATCTATGTAGCGTTCGCATTCAATTTTCTTGGCATCGATTTCTGGGTCACCTTCAAAGAGACGCTCCCACCATTGTTCCTTAGATTTATCTGGAAGGTTATTCAGAGTGAGTTATTAAAGATTTTAGAGTTTATCTTTTGCAGTTACCAACCACAACTAATGAGCAACCGGTTCTGGTCAATGGTCCACACAGCCTCGTTGTGTTTAATCCGCTGGCTCAGGTTTCCCTCTAGGATTATGACCTCCGGACTCTGTTTGCTGCTTACTTTTATGTGCTGGGCCTTAATTAAGATGTTAAGTTTTTTCGCTGCTTGAAGATCCCTGGGTAACTGGATATGCATGTCCAGATCTTTAAGAGTCTGTGACCAGCAATGGGTTTCAAACACAGCTCCGTTTTTGTAGTCACTAGGCAAGAACGTGGTCTTCTCATTAGATTTTTGTGATGGGAGATTTTTCTTGGAGCTGTTATCTTCCTTTTGGGAATGATCTTCACTCTCCAGGATCACTTCTTCAATGGCGGGCGGAGCAGTTTCCCCATCATCTCCTAATGCTCCTCCATCGGCAGTCATCGTTTGGAGCAAGCAATCCGGATCGTAGCGCTGCATAGCACCATATAGAATCTGATCCCTCATGCCCTTGGGGAAGCCTATTTTATCCGATTCATCGCGTTTTGTGTGATAAAAATCAGTACTTAAAGAAAATAACAATAACATTTGGTTTTAGATTATGCTTAAAATGTTTACTTGCGCCGCAGGAAGCCGAATATTGAGTCCAGAAATCCTGTAATTGTCTTTCGATTCTGGAGAATCTCCATTAGCATGGCATCGTTCCTTTGGAAGTCCATTTTTTAGGAAAGCAATACCTAGTAAACAAAACTGAACTAAAGCCGGTTTAAATAGATCAGCTGTTTTGGCCATCTATCGATAAATCAAATTTAAAAAGTGCAATATACACAACATTTCTAAATTACTGGTAGCAAGTTGGCAGTTCTGCGTCAAAACAAACTTATCGATAGCTCTGTAACTCCGTTCCTAAATTATATATTATAAATAGAAATATAATAAAAATGATCGGTAGGATATCTTTTTGGTACAAAGACAACGTTTCCAACGAGGTGGACTGTCTGGCGTGTCGATTGGTCAGTGGAATTGGTCTCCTTGGAATCGGTGCATATCTGTTGGCACAATCGAAGAAACGTCCGAAGCCCCTGGAAAATTACACCATGAAAAGCTTGGCAGCAGGTGAGCCATTCATTTTGTCTTCCACATTCCGGTTTTCATGATCATCTCCTCCGCCCCCAGCCGTTGGTTTACTGGGCGTGGCGCGACTGGGGAATGCGAATTTCCTCAAAGCAACCGCCGAAGAACCGAAGGAGCCGGAAACCAAGACTTTAAAGAACCCAGCTGGTCATCAGTTCTTTGCTAGACGTTAATTGAATAAGATGCTTTTAATTGTAATAATTCGTTAAATTTATAAATGTTTGGGTATAAACCTATACAATGTTTAAAGTTCTTTTCTAAAACCATCTTAATCCCGCAAAGGCTATTGGAATATTTAGAATCTGCATATATTGTTACCTATTGGCCTTTATTTCATGTTTACAAATATTGCAGGACGTCTAGGGATTTTCAGTTTTTTGCTGCATTCTGGCTATAAAACGGGGAAAAGTAATCAATAAGTTATAGAGGCCGCATAATATTTCTTCTCTACAATATTCTTAGAAGTTGTTTGCTCGGCTCTTGTTGATCTCATGATTTATACAATACGTTGTTACTTGGCTTTACGAAATTTTCTATACTAGGCTATTTTTGATCATTTAACTTTAACAATGAGGTTTAAATTTACAAATTTATATATGGGCCTCTATAATCTTGTCGATTGCCTTCCCGCACTTTTAAATCCCTAGCGTCCCACCTTGCCCAACTTGGTGTCAGTCTTTGGATTGGCCGTGATGTTTTGCACCGCCACAATTGTCTCGTTGATGTGTGTTTGCAGCTGGCGAAGGCTTTGAATCTGGAGAAGGCGCAGGATGCGCATTGGCAGGTCCAGGGAAGGATCGTTGGAGGAGACCACGTCGTTTCCCTTGTCAAAGGGAAAGGGTGTGCCCACAATCGGCTTCCGACCCTTGGCAGCGGGCGAGAGGCGTTCGTGCACCACCCGGGCAACCGCCTCCAGCTGCAGCAGGTGGTTCGGGTGGTGCGGCACGTTCAGTTTGCTGGCCAGCAGACGCACTGCATCCACAAACGCCTTTTCCTGAACTGTTGGTAAACAAATTTAGATTAATACGGTCAATTTAAGAGTAAGGGCGTAAAATGAACCATTTTATGCATGACATTTTAACGTTTCTAATTAAGTTAAATTACAGAAATGTATAAATACAATTAAATAAATTAAGAACTGAAAAATTCGACTATAACATTAACTTTGGAAACGATAAAATTTTTCTTAATGGTGAAATACAAAAATTATACTTACCATTAATCTTTCCATCGAAAATGGATTGAACCTTTTGGTGGGCCTGCTTGCCATTGCTTTGGGGTGGTCCCTGCTTGCTGTTGATCGAGGCAAACTGTCCAGGATCATCCAGGAACTCCAGACGGACGGCGTGACTGAGGATCCAGGCCAGCTGCTCCTGTTGGGTCTCCAAAGGCGGCATGTTCAGATCCGCACAGTACTTCATGTAGCCCTCCTCCCACATCGTGGGATTGTCGATGTTCCGCAGCTTTTCGCGATCCTCAATGGTGTATAGTCGGATTTTCTGGTCCTCCACCCAGAGTATTGTGCTGGCGAATTCCTTGCGACCTGAAATCATCGACTGATGATTTGCCATTCCAAGCATCAATGACATTGCTTACTGCTCAGCGCCACATCGCCGGGCGTGGGATGACCCAGGGCCTCCAGTTTCAGCTTCAGCATGGTCTCCTTTCAGCCGCTTTTAATACAAAAATCGATACGATTCGCTTATTAAAAAATCTCACAGCCGGTAATGCTTCTTCTTCTTCTTCAGTATGACCGCGGAATACATTCCAAGTGGTCACCCTAATAAATCGATTTTAAATCGATTTATTCTAGTGATGGGACTGCTAAAATATAACTATCGGACTGCCATCTCGTTATTAATCTAGCTATTTTTCAAAGGGCATAGAATTTAAATTGAAAAGATAGTAACGAGGATTTGTAGAACATTCCATATAAGGGTTTGTTGAATAAAAGTTGGTTGAATATTTTAATGTTTCACCTAATTTTAAACTTTATAAAGAAACCATAGAAATATTATTTTACGAAAGGTAATTAGAGGCTTAAATTATTTAACTTATTTGGAAACACTCGCAAACATTAAATACTTCAACGTAATTTAATGGCTTTTGTACATGATATTTTACAACTGACGAACATACAGTAACGTATTTCGTAGGCATTGTTTTAAATTTAAATGGTTTAAATTATTTAAAAACATTTCCACCGACTTCTGACAATATCATATTATTTTTGCTTTCATCTAATGCAGTATTAGTGGTACAAAGCATTTTCCGGGGTCTACAGGTTTTCCACTGTCGGAAGGATCTTTGATGTCCACCCAGTAAAAAGTATCAAAGTATAGTCCTCCATTTCCCGAGATTCGCATTTATCTTCTTTCCATTCTAGGATCATCTTGTCCCATCCCATCCAGCTTTTCCGATGACCACAATTTATAAGTAAAACTGCAACCACTTTTCCACCATCCACTCGCGATAAGAAACGACAAAGACAAAGTCTGTATTGTATATCATATATGTATGTATATTAATTAAATAATTAAATTAAGTTTGAGGGACATACATTTACATCCTAGCAAATTATAGACTAATAACTACACGTTATATATCGAGATGCTGAGTTATAATATTTGTTTGCAAACAACTACACGAATACACGTATCAACAGCAGCACTTTTCTATTATCCCTCAGTGTCTTGTAGTTCCTCTGGATCCTCTAGGCAATCGCCCCGGAATACAGGAGGATTACCAGAGCTAGAAGCTACAAATCTGGAGACCAGACAGTTCGTTTTCGTTCTCTCTTATGTAGCACGTTAATTATATGTGAGAAAGTTTAGTATACAAATTGGTGCACCCACCCATATATGGTTTTTTGTTTTTATGGTTTATTGGTTTCCTAACGCCAAGCTTTTTGGGTGTGGGTGTGTTCGTTATTAGTCGTATTTGCGTGCTTCTCTACAGCTTTAGTTCGATTTGCTTCGCTTTGTGTTTTATAGCATTTTATGGTTGTGTTTTGTTTTGTTTGTTTTCTTGGTTTTATTTATTTAATATTTTAAATTAAGATTAAGATAAAAACCTAATTATTTATCTTGTCATTTAGGCCTTAAGTAAGTTCGATATAAAATAAAATGAAGCAGCAGCACTTCCAGCAAATAATACAGTTAACATAAAATTACAGCATTAGGGTGTTCAATTTATCAATTTGTTATGTTCAGTATGTATGTATATGTTATGCATATTTATATATTTATATCACCTAATTTGATTTTAATTTAAATTTTTCATTTGTATGCTTGTTTCGTTTTACTTCGCCTCCGATTTATGCGATTAAAACTAAGAAATTGGAATTTTCGCAGACCATCCACACAACATACACACAAACATAATACGAAATGCAGTGCTGCCACTTTCATGTGCCTTCTAACATTGCGTAAAAAACAAAAATACAGTGAAATTTACATAATAGTTAAGTATGTACAATTGTTTTAATCATCATCGTCTCCTATCGTTAAATCTTCTGCGTTGCCCTAGTCCACATAAAATCCATTAAACTGCAGTACAATAGGTCATATTATATGGGGCTTGGGTTTTAGATATTTCCGTATGCTTTCTACTGTTCAGTTTGTTCAGTTTATGAGTTCCAATGCTGCACATTGTGGTAATATGTAGGTATTAGTAAGTGGTAGAATTTAAAAACTATTCTCTATATATTTATATCAATGTCTAGATGTACGTATGTATGCATTCATCCCTTTTACATACACAATTCATTCTCATGTAATTTAATGTTAATTTATGCATTTATTTATATATATATTTAATATACGATAAACCATAGCGTGCGTATGCATATGTATGTGTTAGTTATTCCTCCTTTCTCGTCCCTTCGTCGTTTTTTATTAAATTTAATACAATAAGTATGCTGTGTGCTTGAATTTCGATCTTCCCATCGTTATAACTACCGCATCATGTTCGTCGTCTCAATAATAATCCTCCGATAGGATGTCTCAGTTGTTCTGTTCTAGCTTTCGCCCTAAACAACAGTTTTCATTTCGTATTATCATTATTTTGCTGCTGCAATTGCTTAACGCTTAGGGTTTAGTTATCATATTTACTATTTTTAGATTTGAGTGAAAAAATATACAGTTGTTATTGTATTGACTGTTACAGTGATGGATATAGGTGAGCCAAATCCATCGCAGAGACATTCCTTGCTGCTGCTGAGTTCCCGTTTACGTATCCTTGAGCTCCAAGGACTCCCTCTCCCAGGCGCCATTTAAGTAAATTTACATGCCTTCTCTACACTGACTCCAGGGATCTCCTCCCCGATCATCATCTTGCACCTCGGAGTTGCTCCCGGGTCCGCTGTTCCTCCACATCCATTTCCAACTCCAGCTTAGTCGACTGCCCCTCGGGGGGTTCGTGGCCAGTAGTAGGATGCTGGCATCATTGTCGTATACTACGCAACGGCTGTCGTTGTTCCTGCATTGGTTGGCGGCGGTGCCGCTGGCTGTGCCACCGCCGCTCCGGCGGACACATTCGAAGACGACGACGAGGGTGGGGCAACGGAAGCCGCTGCAGCCGCCGCCGCAGCTGCTGCTGCCGCTGCACTGGCATTGCTCAGAGCCGCAGCTGCGGCTGCCGCTGCAGCCACCTTGCTCACCTGCTGCTGCTGATCGTTGACCATTGCTGCTGCTGCTGCTGCCGCGGATGTTGCTCCCGGTGCTCCGACCGATGTGGCTGCCACTGTGAGCGTCGATTGGCTGCTGATTGCACTGCTGCTGTGGCTGCTGTTGGTGGTGCTGTTGTTCGTCTGGTTGCTGCTGGCCGTTCCGCAGCTGTTGCTATTGGTGCTGCTGTTGCTCACGTCGTTAAACGTCGCTGCCGGCGGCAACTGCTGGCTGCTGTTGCTGTTCTCATCATTCACCACTGCTGTTGTGGATGTTGATGCTGCAGGCTTTGCATCAGTGGAACTCGTTTCCGACGACGCTGACTCCGCCTTGACTACTGCTGCTGCTGCTGCACTGGCAGCTTGCTTCTCCGCTGCTCCAGGACGCAGCTGTTGTTGCTGTCGCTGCTGCAGCAGGCGGAACTCCACGGAGTGTATGGGTCCAGTTCCTCGCGACACTTGGTAGAGTACCCGCGAAATAATCAAAGCCACCTGCTGATCTAGGATGTGCGACATGACCAGACCAAGCAGCCGCTGTTCCTGCTGCATGAACAGGGACCGGTTGTCTGGGTGCTTGGCCAGATGGAGCAGGGTTCCAGCTGCTCGCCGCAGCATGTCCAGGCTGGTGCCCATCGAGTCTGGATTCTCGCGCAGGTAGTTGATGCCATGCTGGTTCGCCACGCCCAGCGCCGTTTGCTCAGCCTGTTCGATGAAGGCAACCAGATAGGAGATGCATGGCGACTGGAGGGCCACAGTGCGAGCCATAGCGCTGTCGGCGGCGGCAAGGTAGTGCAGCAGATTCACAGAGAACTCTCGCAGCACCTGATCCTCGTTACGGCACAGATGTCGGGTGAGAACGGCGCACAGCTTCTCGAGCCGCGAGAATGGGGGAGTAGCAATCACCAGATCCACGTTGGCATCCGTTACGCACAGCTTGCAGAGCGCCTCGAGCGCCAGGCGCTGCGGAGAGAGCGCCGTGTTGGGTCCGCACGATGGGAACGGATCCTGGCCATGGGCACTCGGACATACGGCCCAGTGCAGCAGACCGTCAATCAGGGGGCGGGCGATGAGCTCATCGTAACGCGACAACTCCAAGTGACCGGCAATGTTGGCCATGGCGACCAGCATATTCTCCCGAATGGTGATCAAGTAGTCCCACCACCATTCACGCTCTCCTTGCAGCGAGCTGCACGAGTCACTAAAGTCCGTGTCCTCCTCGCGATCGTAGTTCCGTGTCTTGGGCGTGCGACGCAGGTGCTCGTGGTTTAGTAGGAGCAGTCGTCCGAGCACCGCCAAGAACCTGGTGGACTTGGCCAGCACTGTCTCGTTGCCGGGTACGAACGTCAGGTTGCGGAAGATGTTGGAAAGGGCGATGCAGCGGCGCGCCAATGAATCTTGGCTTTCATTGACCAAGTGCAGGGACGCCTCGTCGCGTGTGTAGCACTCATCCTCAAAGCTGGAGTCACGCCTCCGCTGCAGCACACGCGCCACATCTTTGGCTGTCGTCCGGGGATCAAAGGTGTCAGGATTCGAGGAGCAGGGTGCCACGCCGTTGGTCAAACGTTGCTGGGGCGCTTCGATATCCATGTCAACAGGGCGACAATCGCTGTCAGCCGTTCCAGGCTCCTTTTTGACTTCCGCGATTGGTTGGGCGAATTCCTCACTCGCCAGCTTTGACTTCTTGCCCTCAGCATGAGGTCCACTGCTACTGCTACCGCCGCTCACCAGTCGCCTCTTCTTGTTGAACGCCTGTTCCTCCGAACTGTTCTCCTCCTGCTTTATTTCCGGCTTTCGGGCCGTGGTCGCCACTTCCGTCCGCGTTTTCGCCTTCTTTTCAGAGCGGACGTAGCGTGCAAATGGAATGTTTACAATCTCAGACTTGAAGACGTCGATAATGCCGTCGAGGGGATCTGGTTCGGTGAATCCGTACGTCCAGGCATCGCTGCCCACGGGTTCCAGCTGTTCGTACAGGCGGTTAGTGTCTATGTCCCACGCCTTCTGGCGCTCGTCCACGAAGATGTCGTGATCGGCGGTCTGGATGCGCACTGGCACACCCTTCCGCGTGACCATCGTGTAATTGGGCGTAAAGGAGAGTAGCAGTGAGCGCTCCTCGGGATTGGGCTGTACTCGCACCTGTCCCAAATCAATGCCTTCGTCGGCGTCTTCAGAGTCACTGTCATTACCGGGTCCGCTCTTTCCACTGCGATCCATGTTCTCGTAGTGCCGTCTGCGGTTGTAACTGCTAATGCTGCGAACACATCGCGACTGCCGCCCGCTGCTTCGTAGCTTTTCACACATCACAGTGCCGCTGTCCGCATCGTCGTCCACCGCTTCCTCCGCTAGCAGAGAGGATGGCTCCTCGTTTTCCCGTTCGTCGAACATCTCGGCGAGATTCTTCTGAAAGTGTTCCAGCAGCAGAGTCAGCAGGCCGGGCAGGTTTGAAATGCCAAAGAACTGCACCGTAGAATCGTCGAACAGTAGTACATTGAGAACATCTAACGCCCAGGTGCATTCGGTCAGCAGACCGGATCGCATGGCCATAAATATCCGCCATGGATCCACCGGGCACACGTCTGCCTTCGTAAGCCGCTTTCTCCGGTATAACACCGGTGTGGTGGACTCCACGCTATCGTGCGGGAAGATCAGTTCCTTCTTCACCAGCTGCGCTCCGCCTCCAGGCATTCCTGGCGGTCCGTATCCACCGCCGGGTGCAGTCTGATTGGGCGGAATCTGATGCGGATGCTGGTGCTGTGGATGCTGATGAGGATGGGGGTGTTGATGCGGCGGAGGCTGCTGCTGCAGAGGCTGTTGCTGCATCACTTGGCCCGGCATCGGCGGTTGCTTTTGGGCCATCATGCCGCTGGGTGGCACCTGCTGACCCACACCCTGTGATGGTGGCGGTGGCATAGCGTACGGTGGCTTGACCATTCCTCCAGGTCCCACTTGGGGTAATCCTGGCGACGGAACGCCGCCATGGGTAGCCTGTTGCGGCGGTGGTTGTTGAACTCCACCCGGTTGTTGCGATTGTGGCTGCTGTGGCGGCATTCCGGGCATCCTCTGCGGCTGACCTGGTCCGGAGGGTGGGCGCAGTGGGGAACCGGGTGGTGCTATTCCTGGCTGCGCCGCTTGACCGGCATTCATCTGTGCCCACTGTGGCGGCGCCTGAGGCGGCTGCTGTCCAGGAGGCCCAGCCACCTGCTGATACGGCGGCTGCTGCTGTTGCTGTTGAGGCTGCTGCTGCTGCTGGGGTGGTGGTGGAGGACCTTGCTGCGGCGGGTAGCGGTGCTGATCCCACTGGGCCACTCCCGCTGGCTGCTGGATGGGCGGTCCATGCGGTGCGCCCTGCGGAGGCGCAGCACCGCGTGGTGGAGCACCTCCCCAGCTTTGCGGAGCAGGCGAAGTTGGGTATTGTGGCCGATACTGCTGCGTACCGCCTTGCCAAGCACCTGGTTCAAAGAGAAAGCAAATGTATTACTATTTACTATATGCACTTTAATCTATTATATGACTTACCATATATTTGAGGCCTAGCGTTGTAGCCTGGATAGGGCTGCGAGTCTTTGATGAAATCGGGATGCCTTCGTGGCTGTGGACTCTGCGAAAAAGCAAACACATATGCCATTAATAAAATTCAAACCAAGATTAGCTCTTAAAGAATCTTACTTGATCTGGTGGTGGTTGATAGTAGTCCTGCTGGGTGGGCCTGCCCGTAGGATAGGCGCTGCTGGGTGGTGCTCCTGGAGCTCCGCCGGCCGGGGGTCCGCCTGCAACCGTCTGCGCCGGTGGCTGAGGACCACCTGGCGGTGGCTGACTGTAGGGTCGGCTGCCATAGGGGCCGTACTGATTGGCACCAGTTGGAGGACTGCAAAAAGGATTAAAAAGAAAAAACAAAAACCAAAAGTTAGTAATCCTTTTCAGTAATAAATCATAGCTCGAAAGCTCAGTCCAGTGAGTTTATATCGGGCAGCTACAGTACAGAGAGTGGTGAGTGTGCATGGGGGTCTGGTCTGGATGTGGTGGATGTGATATGATGTCGTTGTGTTTGGGGTCTGGTGTGGGTAAATTGGGGTGCACTCACGCTTCCCCCTCCGGTCCGTAGGGAGGGTACATGTTTCGGTTCTGCGGCGGATATTGTCCTGGACCCTGTCCGAATGGCTGGCCGGGTGGCCCAGTGGCGTTGTACTGATCGCTCGAGCCGTACTGCCCGTAAGCCCCGGGCTGTGATGGATACGGTGAGCCTGGAAGAGTGATTCATAAAGAAAGCATAATGATAAGAGCGATTCCTCGAAAACGGAGTACTGCTTGCGTAACAGAAATATAAAAACGATTACGAAACGACGGTCTTTAAAGTTTGAAACATCCGTCTAAACTAAGAAGTTGCTAAAATAAAATGCAAACAAATTTAGAATGTCTAGATTTAAAGCTAAAGTTAAGTAATGTTGATAGAAATAAGGGTTGCACATAAGCAAATTTTGGATAAAGCTTGAAAAATGTAAATAATAATGAAACTGAAACAAGAGCTTAATATTTAAAATATCACAGTATATTATTTGAGATTAGAATTACACCAGCCATGCAATCATTACCAACTAGTTAGGATCAATAGCCAAACGTATCTTAAGAGTAAAGCAACAGTAAGACAAACAAAAAACGATGGCACATGAAGGAAAGTATGTGAAAATAGGATAAAAAGAAGAGATGAGGGAGCAAAATAAAACATGAGTATACCTGGCGTTCTAGACACAGGCGTTGGGTAGCCGGAGCCACCCGGCGGGTAAGGTGCCCCGGCGGCTGGGCGCACATGCTGCTGAGGCGACGGCGGCACCTGACCAGGCCCATGTTGCTGTGGTGCTGGTGGTGGCCCACCGCCCACTGGCGGTTGGGGCTGCTGCCCCTGCTGCTGCTGCTGTTGCTGCTGTGCCGGCGGCGGTGGTCCCACCGGCAGGCCAGGATGCTGATGCTGTGGATGCTGCTGTTGTTGCTGTTGGGCTGCTGCCGCCTGTTGGGCTGCGGTGTGCGGTGAATGTGGGGGCGGCGGATGTGGCTGTGGGCCACCGCCTACAGCAGCAACAGCTCCAGCACCACCGGGACCAGCACCTGGACCTGCACCTGGACCTGGGCCAGGACCGGCTCCCGAACCCGGGCCAGCGGCGGCAATGGGATCCTCGAAGGGATTGCTCACGCTTATATTATCGCCGGCGGCAACAGCGGCTGCGGCGGCGCCTGAGGGGCGGCAAGCGGCGATTTGGATGATTTGGTTTGGATGAATCGAAATGAATGAGTCAATGAATCACACACAAATGAATTGTTTGGTTGTTGTTTTTTTGGTGGTGGAGATACATGGAAGCATCGTTGTTGTGATGGTGGTTGGTGGTAGTTGGTGGTGGTGGTGGTTGTGGAGTTATATATTTTAGTAGTGCGCCCACACAAACGTTACAAAAACATAAAAATGAATAAACAAAATACACACATCAAATTAATAATTATTGATCAACGTAAACACTTAAAGTGGTATACTTAAATACACGTATATATATGTACAGAATAGGTTGGCGAAATAAGTTCGAGAAGAAGCATATCATCTATCAGATAACAATTTAGCAGTAATCGAAAACAAAGATACCAGAACATAAAATGGTTACCACAAAATAAACATAAAGTATTATGTATTAGAGTGACAAGATCAGTTCTAACTTTTAAAACATCTGCACAAGTCGACGAGCTCTAGTTTCATTATATTTATATAATATTCATGAGTTAGTTTACTTAAATCATTTTTCAAATTAAAAAATGGGTATAATAAGAAGTTCATAACATTTTACATTAACTGGCAAGCGGTTTGTACCATGTTTTAATGAAGTTCAACCGTTCTAAAGTCACTCCAATTAATAGTTTATATATAAAAGAGCAAGTTAAACGGGATCTTACCGGGATGAGGAGTCTGCGGGTTGTTCTGGGAAGGCGGACGTTGCATTTGGCCCGTGGCCGCATAATCCGGCTGCGGTCCGCTGGCTCCCGGGTAGGGACTGCCTCCCGGATAGCCGGGATAGCCATCGATCGCCGCGTTTGGAGCGGAGCCTGGCGGGGCAGGGAACGAGTCCTGAGAGTTCGAGGAACCTGTGGAGTTCGTAGTTCCAGCATCCAAATGTCCACCACCGATTGGTTGCAAATTGTATGCAAGTTGTTTTTTTCGTTGTGGTTTTTGAGATTGGGAGATCAGACGAGGAGAAAGTGGTGAAAAAAATTGTCGACAGGAAGGCGGGGAGAGCAAATCAAAAACGCATCGAAAAAAAACAAAAGGAAAATTTAAATTAAGCATCGGGTGTTACACGAAATCAGGGCTAAACACTTACCTGGCGAAGGAACCGAGGCAGCCTTGGCCGTCTTCTTCTTGCTGCCCGCCTCCACCTGCTGGATGATGGGCAGGGGATCGATGTCACCGCGGTCAAAGTGGCACTCGAAGGTCAGAAGGTTCTTGGTGTAGTGCTTTCGCAGCGTGTATGCCGCACTGCTACTCGCCCCGATGCCTAAAAGTCCGGCAATGTCCTTCCAGGTCTTGCTCTTGGTCACCTGATGGAACGAGAGAATCGCAGTGATGTTAATTAAGAGCCAATGCAGGGACTCCAAAGTTCATGGCGCAAGTCTCGATCGAAAAAAAGAGAATCAAAAGGTTGCGAGCACAAACAGATTTCGTGTGGGATGCATTTAGCAAGTGGTAGGATACTATAAACTACGTAAACAACTCAGAAAAATGAGGATGGGATGAGGGAAACTACTAAAGGTTAAGGAGTAGCACACGCTCCATACAGAGCGTGATTTAAAAATGCAGATGCAAATAAAAAAAGTCAAAAACAAACAACAAGCCGAGTAAAATGAGAGCAATCAGTATTACAAATCTCAAAAATCCTAAGTCTAGCTTGGAATTCAGGCATAGTCTACCGATTGAAACTCTATCAAAGTATTAAAAAACGAAAAGAAATGGGGTAGACCCCTTTGTGGAAAAATTAATTTGAGGGCATGCCTGATAAATATTAAGTATTGCAGATCAAAAGAGTTGAAGGTAATACCAAGTGGTGCTTGGATTCGGCTTAGAGCATGCAAATCTGGGGGAAAACCAAGGCTGTACAACAATTGCCCTGGCTTTTTCCTAAGGAAAGCTTGTCCCGCTGTTGGGAAAGCTAAGCTATACTCAGGATGCAGCTACAATTTGGACACATGGATCGGAGGCTGATGCTGGGGCAAAAGGTTGGTACAAAAGTAGCTGGGTGGCTGTGGCTTGACTTTAGTTTCTTGTTTTTACTGTAGCCGAATCACAATATTGATATTCATTCTATATATGGTGAATATTTTTTTTGATTTGGATTTGGTTTGGTTTTGGTTCGTGTTAACTACGTTGGTGGTGTTTTGGTTGATTTGGTTTGGTTTTGCTAGTAGTAAATCTAAAAAGAAGTTAGTAAAAGGAGTTACTACGGCACCTTGCATACCTCGACGAATCCGCCACGTTCTTTTACATAAATATATAACCTATATAAATCGAGTGGCTGTTTTGAGATGGTGGGGCAGGCGGTGATCGGAGTGCGCCGCTCCTCCATGAACGCCCGCAGCTTGTCCAGCCAGCCGCGTCTGTCCGGGTTGTCGTCCATCTCGTACAGCTTGCACAGCGAGTCCGACTTCTTGGTCGTGGTGATGGTGCTGCGGAATGGCTCCTGCGGCACCGGAGCATGGTTAAACACCTGCTGTGTAAGGAAAACACATAGACATTCCATTAACTTGCTCTAGTTTAAAGGGCAAGATTGACTTACCGGGCTACCAGCCGGACGTGGCCAATTGGGAGGTGAACTCATGTCGTACTCCTCACCGGGGCCTCCGCCACCTGGGTGCATCACAACCGGATGGGGCGACGTGCTCGGCGGGGCTAAGTGACTTTGGCTATAGGGATCATTCTTGCGCGACTTTGGTGTGGTGCATTGTGGGTCCTCGCCGGATGCTGAATAAAAAAAAAGCGAATAAAATCAGTCGCGAATCTCTTGAAGGCTTACACCCGAGTTCTACTCACCCGCTGATGCATTCGAGAGCGTGCTCTGCTGACTGACTTCATCCATGGGCGTTCCATCCGGCCCGGTGGTTACGACAGCGGTGACCGCATGCATTCCCGCGGCACCCGTAGGTCCCGAAGAGCTGATCCCGTTGTCCTGCGATATATGCTCGGGGCCGCCGCTTTCCGGTCCTCCTCCTCCGCCGCCGCCCTGTCCCTGCCCCTGGGGCTGGCCGCCCTGGAGCATCTGAGACTGCGGCGGCGTGCTGGTGGGTGGACCCATGTTTGTGGGTCCGTGCGGAGGTCCCATGTGGTGGGGTGGTCCCATCGGCATGCCCGGATGCATTCCGGTCGGCCCGTTGCCGTAGCCTTGCGGCCCTTGCGGCGGTGTCGGACTTCCTCCATAGCCGCCCTTGTGCTGTAAATGCTGCTTCAGATAGTTCAATGGTCGAGGCGATCCACTGCCCTGAGGTGGCGGAGGTCCGCCCACAACCGGTGGTGGCGGTGTGCCCTTGCCCTGCACATGATTGCCCACCATCGCACCGCCGGGAGCTCCGCCGGGTCCGGCTTGCTGAGGCGAAGGCGGAACCCACTGATACGGCGGATATTGGCCAGTGTGGTTGGGCATGCCTCGACCTGGATAGCCGCCAGCCTGGGCCCCCGAAGGCATGCTGTTGGCACCACCTGCTCCTGCTTGGCTGGTGGGCGGCGGTGGTGGTCCGGTGGCGTAAGCGCCAGGCGGATACTGCGGGCGTGGCGGGTAGTTGCCTGGAAATAAGCCAATGATTAGTAATGTTATAAAGTGCGGGCGTTTTATAACTCCTTGTTGGGTTTAAAAGAAAACGAAGCAACCAGAAAGAAGCTCTTTTTAATATTTGTTTGAAGTGTTTAGTAGCTTAAACAATTTAAAAAGTAATAGAAATTTAAAGTGACTATAGAAGAGCTAATCAATCTCACCTGGTGGATATTGCTGTGGCTGCTGCGGCGGATATCCCTGTGCCCCGGGACTCTGGCCCGGTCCGCCCATCTTGTAGCCGCCGTGCATGTGCGGCGGCATTGGGTAGCCTCCTCCCGCCGCCCCCTGCGGTGGTGGTGGGGGCGTGGCCATGTTGTTGATGCCCTGGTTTGGCGGCGGTGCCGGTGGCGGTGTTTGCTGCGGCGAATTACTCGCCGACGAGGCCGAATTCGATGCTTGTTGCTGCTGAGATTGCTGCTGCTGCTGGGGCGGACCTCCTGGCATTCCCGGGTGCGGTGGCATCGGGGGTGGGCCACCCGCCCCAACCGGCGGCTGTTGCATGGGTCCGCCGCTGCTCGACTGGTTGCTCGCCGGACGCGAGATTGGATGGTTTTGGGCTGCAATGGAAACGGATAATTAGGAGTGTCTTTTGATGAATCAATTGATGGAATACTCACCGACTGCCGGGGACATGGAACGCGAACCGGAGGAGCCGGTGGGCGAGGGTGTAGGTCGCATCACCTGTTGGGGATTGGGGGTGCCTGGCGGACCAGAGCCCATGCCACTGTGCGCCCCGCCGCTGGAGCTGTCGTTGCTGTTCTGTCCAATTAGCTCCTGGAATGGTAAGAGAAAGAGAACCGGAATTAGTGTGCATTCAATCAAGTGCAATGGCCAACCAAATGCCGGCCGGCAGGTGGCACTTTTTGTAGTATTTATTTATTTAAATGAAAGTGATAGCAACTATGAATTAACCAAGCGGCAACCGCAATTAAGCAACTGCCAACGCACACAGAAACACATATATAAACGCGAGCATATGACTGAGATTCAATTTTGAGTTGGTAGTCGTAGTAGACCAGCGTAAACATATTCATGGCAATCAGATGTTTCGAGTGGGTGTTTGGGCCCATTCCGATGTCAAATGTTGTTGCCAAACGATCCCGGTATTCGGGGGATTCATGGGACAGCTCCTCCCCGCTCGTCCCGCGACCTTTCCTGACATTGCCCGAGGAATTCGAGACTCCTTCGCCGCTCCGCTCCCCCACTTACCCCGTCACAATTATTATAACCCGGTCAGGGGGGAGGAATCCGAATTCATAAACGCCAAGCTGCTTGAACAATAACAACTCTTAAAACAGTCTGCAGGCACCAGAAACTCGGTGCGATGCGACACGACTTTAACTTTTTGCCGCCTATAACTTATAAGAAAATCAAGAAAAAGCTACACACAAACAGCCCCACTCGCACACTCACTCACTCACACTCGCACACACTGGCACACATGGCAGCTACAACAACAGCGGCAGCAGACGTGCACATAAAGCTTAAGTCGACAGCAATTCGAAACACTCACACACAGGGCCATGGCAAAACCCCAGCGGAGAGAGAGCTCAGGAGGAGCAGGGGCGCCCCAAAGTGGGGGTCTAAGAAAAAGTATCTTTTGAAATATTCCATGCAACTATCAGCTTAAAAACTATCTGAAAAACATATAATAGCTCCGTATCATAAAAATTTTCTGATTTTAAAGTATGATACAAAAGGATGGGGAATTGAACACAGGTCTGCCAAAATAAATTACAAGACTTGAAGAAGTTTCACTTTTAAATATAATTAATAACTAGATCTGATGTATTTTACATTGTTTTCGTGACTATTCAATATAAAAAATATATATTTTTCTATTCGAATGTTGAACATACCCATAAATCAAAAAAAAAAAGTTTTTTTTTAAGTAACGATGAAAAACTATTTTAATGAATAACTTTTTTAATGAAACGTAGCATTTAATACAAAACATTTTCTACTCCAAGATTCCCAACAAGAATATATCTTCAAGATTTCAAAATATCTTTCGGTTAGGATCTCTCCCCCCTAAACTACATTTGCACTAAGCCACTGGACAGCCACAGCGGCAGCAGAAAGAAAAATACAACGAACGAACGAACGAGCGAACGCTGTTCGTTTTGGTATCTGAGAAATTAAGTGAAGTGAAATGAAATGTACGACGACGAACTGACGGCACAAGGCGGCGGCATGGGCATGGGATTGGGATCGGGATGGTATGGTATAGTATGGTATGGACTGGGGGTGTGGAGACGTAGCGGAGCGGGGCATAAAAGCTATGTGGAACGAACCGAGCAGCCAGTCAGCCAGCCAGCCAACCAACCAACGAGCGAGCGACAACGACGACGACGACGACGGACGGCTGCAACTTGAAGCGTTCCAAGGGGGGCGGTTGGGCGGGAGGGAGCGGGTCGGGGCTTAGGCGACGGATGGAGGCTACGACTACCCGGGGATCGGGCAAGTGGCTGTGGTAGTTATGGCGCGCTCGAAGCGAACGAAAGGCAACGGCAACGATGACAAAGACGTAGATAAGGAACAGAAACATGCGCACACAGATACACACCCATACCGTGGCACGTACACTCTAAATGTTGGAATATAATAAAATGAAATAAGCAACGACCGAGGCACTGGCACAGCGCACAGCGCACAGGGCAGGCAAGACCAGGCCATTCGTATTCGTATTCGCATTTTGGCGAGGGGTTCTCTCGAGGGGGGCACCACTTGAGTTGCGAGACGATGACGAGAATAGCAAGCAAGCAGCAAGCAAGCAAGCTGGCAAAATCAAAAGCAAAGCTAAAGGCCAGGCCGGATAGAATGCTTTGTGCCCAGGGGCGTAGAGGGGCTAGATGTTAGGGGGTTCGTCTCTCGCAGGGGGGACAAACACAACAAGCGCGGCCCACGTTTGTAGTTTGTATCTGTATCTGTAGTCTGTATCTGTGTGTGCGCCTGTGGTCGCGTAGAAAAATTACTTGGAAAGGAAAACAAGCGCTGCGGATACAACAACAATGAAATCATTTATAACGAAAATAATGCGAAGCAAACACAAATAAAAAACAGATAAAAAATACAAAAAAAGAACACACCTCCCACACTTTTGCCCCCCTTTGCCAACCATCTGAATTCATCAGCGAAATAAAGTTCAGCCAAGATTTGCGCGCCAAAAGTGTTGAGAGTTCGATTTTTGGGCACGATTTCGGAGAAGGGGAATCGCCCTTGGACCCCACTTGAAAAATAATAATAAAAAAAAAGGAAGAGAACCCCATCATCTTTCATCTTTCGTTCTCAAGATGCGATGATGATGTAGCAGCATTGGCCACAAGTTCGACTTTTGGCCCTCGAAAGCGCACTTCACCGCTTTTTATGCCGTGTCATCTGTGGACGTTCATTTAAATAAAGAATATGCATGTTGCTCGGATGGTTGGTTGGTAGGTTGGTTGGCTGGTTGGGTAGGTAGGTATGTTTATGTCTGGCTGTCAGCTGCTGCCGACGATGGAACCGATGGAACCGGCGGTACTGGTGGCTCTGGTGGGACCTTTGTGGCTTATCACCTTAAAACCTTTAGCGATGAATGTGGCAAGCGAGCGTTGCAAAAATACAAAAAAAAAACATTAAAAAACAAGGCAAAAACCGAAAACAAGGACTGGCATACATGTGCTTGTTATGCGGCCAACGAAGAGATAAAAAATAAGAGAATTAAATGCACAAAGGAGCGGCACACACGAGAAACCGGCAGAAAGGGGCAGCAGGGAATTTATAAACACAGTCAGCCAGTTGGAGAGAAAAAGTAATAAACTCGGGGATATCATAAAAATGAAAACAAGAGGAAGAGGGTTAACACATTCAGATCGTAGCTTGAAATACCCTAGCTATAAGGTTTGCGATACCAATTAGTAGGCCTTAGATTAGCAGGAATTTTGATGAGAAATAAAGTTTATACTATTAAACTATTGCTTCATCTTTCAGTATCAGGGGTTATTAAAATTCTATACATCAATAAAAATGAAATGGTATTGATGTGATATAGAAACTATTTGAAGTAAACCGCGGTTGGTAGCATGATTCTTATATCATACTTTATAATTAGGAAGGTTAATATAAGAGATCTGATCTATTGATAAGGAAAGTGGTAACATTTCCTCAAGTCCCATAATCTATAAAGCCCAAATCTAGGGTATAGACCTCAAAAACTGCAACACTGAGAATGTAAAGCAGACAAAAAATAGTTCACCACATCCCGCATAGTCTCGCAATCTTCTCACCCCCTCAATGGTTTTCATTTTGTCCAGCTTGTACGCCGGATCGGAGGGGTTTAACCTCAGAGCCAGGGTAAGAGATATATAAAGAACACAGCCCAGCTGAGCGACAGCCAGTCGGACTGTCGCTCATTAAACATCCTCCAAGTGTGGGGGAGGGTCTCCATCTCCGTCTGGGTCTGGGTCTGATTCTGAATCCGATTCTGAGGCCGAGCGGTCGACTCCATGCTCATGCAATTTCTGTTTGCGCTTGCTGGAAATTTTATGAGCGAATCGAAAGTTTGTGCGATTGTGTTGAGTGTGCAAGGCGCACATTGCACAAGGGAACCACTCAGGCAGTCCCAGTACACTAAACGCAAATGAATATACAGTCCAACTTCCCTGAACTGATCTTCAAAGGAAATCAGATTAATTCTTCAAAGTTTTTAATGTTCTTTGTAGGAAATCATAGGTTTAACAGAACACCAGACATGGAGACACAAAAGTATAGTATGAACACAAAAATTAATTATAAAATTTAACCAATGTTAATATAATATATCACAAAATCGTATTCATAAATACAATTTAAAATATTATTATCAATTAATTTGGTATACATATATTTAAATGAATTTATTAATGTTTTCCACATCTGAGTTGCTAATTTAAATGAATTTATTAATGTTTTCCACATCTGAGTTGCTAATTTTTATAGGAATTTCTTATCGAATTCGATTCTTATATTTTCTTCACAGGAATTTATTATGTTATGCATGTACTGTAAAGTTGAAATAATCTTTATCATCATCGAAATCATAATCAGTTTTTGGAACCCTAAAAAATGTCAGATTTTTTGTTTATGATAATAGTTTGAGTTATAGAAGTTCGACTGTATATAGAGACAGGCATATTCTCATATTCGTATACCAGCAGCAGAAGTCGCTTTGGATCTGCTCGGTTCGGTTGGGTTTGGTTCGCTTCGTTATGTTTCGTATCGTGGCGTTCGTTCGCTGGTTTTGCCAGCAGAGCATTCAGTCGCCCCCAATCCCTGGCCCCTCATCGCCCCCCAAACCACTTACAATATGGCAAACTGACAGACTGGCAAACTGACGGACCAACAGCCCGCCAGCCACTGCCAGCAGTAAAAGCGAAAAAAGAAAAACAACAGCCAACGCTGGCAGTCAACCACTTTGAGAGCTCAGACAAATGTCCCATGAATCGCACACTGGGCTCCAACCGAAAGCACACGGCCCAGAGTCGCAGTCAGAGCCGACAGAACCGGCAAGAGCCAGAGCCAGAGCCACAGCCAGGGCAATAGCAATGGCAAAAGCCAAAGCCCCGGACCAGACCGATCCAATCCGACCCGACTCTACTCGACTCGACTCGTTCGCATCGTTTCGTTCGTGGTGTGTATCCAAACGAGTGAACTGAAAAACAAGCGCACAATCACACGACCCTCTATATATAAATTTGTATGCGTTCATAACGAAGCAGTTCACAGGAAAATAAATTGTGGGCCTTTAAAAGGGTTATATAAAAAAGGGTTAATACAAAAAATTGTAATATCTTAAATCTATTAAAAATGTTTCTCAAATACTAATGAATAATATTCATATATTATTCACAGATCATTCATCGTTTTCTAAAGTAAACCACATGTTCGAATGAACTTTGTCAAGAAGTTAAATCTATCTTCTGAATATCTATCTATCTCAAACTACTAAAGTTACACCATCCAAATCTTTCCAATAACCTCTAATTGTACCAAAGGTTTTGGCATATAACTGATTTTCCCTCTAGACCTTTGCATAATCAGTATTCGGAATATCATTTGTAATAATAAAAAACATTTAAATTTTAGAATAATCAAATATGAATACCATATTTTTCTCTGTGCAACAGCCCCAACTGAAATGAACGTTCTTTTTATTTCGACTTTATTTTTGCCTTTTTTCCTGGCTGCGCCGCCTGTTAAAATGAAAAACGATGATGATGCCGCCGCCGCTGCCAACAATAACAACGCAGCAGAGTCGCAGCAATGAGTGGAGCACTAAAATCCCAGTAACAACGGACGGAGAAAAACCGGCAAAATTGTTCATTGGCAGGCAAACACAGGCAGAGGGTCCAGGGGATATGGGTTGGGGGCACGGGGAAAGGCTGGGCCATGTGGCTCAGGGGGCTTTTGGGTTCGCAGTCGCAATAGCATTCGCATTTCGCATGCCGGTGCTCGGTGTTCGGGGTTCGAGGAGTTGAGGCCCAAAAGCCCCAACCGTGTGCACTGCACCACAGACAATTTCGGGCCGCATTAAATGAATGCAGCAGTTGTGCTGCCGCTGCTGTCTGCCTGGCCCGCAAATTTCAGATGCTGATAGGCATGAAGATAGTCATGCCAATTGCCCACAGAGAGAGGGAATATGACGCAGAACAGTCTTGAAATAAGTTTATAAACTAGGACACGTCGATATGCACGGGCATGCATATGCTCTTGAAAATCAATGGAAATGGTAATGGAAATGCCAGTGGATGCTTAAATAACACGCCATATAAAAGGTGTGTTTACTGTTTACAGCCAAACGGTTAAAAGCCATCAGTAGTTGAATATTATTGCTGGCAGTTGGCTTTTGTTCTGCAACACACGGTGAATTTAAAGCGGCTTACAAAATGCAATACGAAATCGACCAGCTTAAATAAAAACGGTCGAGGAGTGGTACTTCCCCTTAACTTTGGAACGGCTTAAAATGAGTGTTGGCTGCGGCTGATTACAGTTTTTCGTTCGTTTTTGGTTGGTTTCAGTTTGAATTGGCCTGAAACGTGGATTTAACCTTGCAACACCCAATTATAATGTAAAGAAAACCGATTGGTTTGATTTTGTAATGTAATTGGAGTGCAATAGCTTGAAAATATTTTAAAATTGATTTTGGTTAGGTATTAGAAAAAGGAAAAGGAAAGGAACTTCAAAATACATTCGACGTCGAAGGGAAACAATTTTTTGAACAAAATATTAAGTTTTAGAAACATATTACAGAAATTTAAAGTTAAAATGATTCATTTAGAACATTTGAGGAAGTCTTTTTTGGTTTTTGACAGAGTTTAGAAGAAGTAGTATCCATGAAACCCTAGACCTTTTGCAAATTAGTCAAATTCTTGGCTAAAGAGATGGATCGATAGCGACTGAAGAGGACCTGAGTTGATGAATCGCCGGTTCGAAATGAGAGTACACATAAAATGTAAACAACCCGCTAAACAACAACAACATCAGCAACGACGACGCGAAGGAGATGGAGGTAAAGCAAGAACAAGAACAACAATGACCTTGGCATTGACCCAAATATATGGTAACAGACGCTTTGTGTGTGATCTTGAGTGTAGTCATGCGAGTGTGTTGGTTGCATATACATGCCACATACCAAATATAAAGGGAATAGAGGGGGAAAAGACCAAAATACGAAATAAAGAAATGGTATGGGGCACAGGAGGATTGTCGACCGAGCAGGGGGTTCAGGGGGTGGAGCAGGGGCTGCGGGGAGGGGGTATCCACGACGGCCGCGGACATGCTGAATGAATAAATGGGGTACAAAGCAAACGCACACATCCGCGGGCACTTCACATGCACAGCTGCGTCCAAAATAATAATACTAGGGGTCTACTAATGTTTTTTAATAATACCCTCTTCCATATCACAGATATCGAAGGGTGGAATCAAATCACATACCATCAAAATGCGCTTACCTATTCAAATATAAATAACCATTTTTGGAAAACCCTCTCATTTTGATCCATCCAAAAACCATCCACTGGATATTGTTCAGCAAATAACGAAATCCGCAAATGGTGATGACACGTGCATAAACGATCTCAAAAACAGGAGGTGGGGCGCAACCAACCAGACTGTCGGCATTGCGAAAAATAAACCAAAAGACAAAGGGGGAAAATGCCGCCGCCGAAAGAAATAGTAATCAAAACAAAATAAAAATCATTAAAATTCATAAAAACAAATCAAGACAGCCGACGACAACAACAACGATAAGGCTAAAAGCAATTTTAAAAGTTAAGGTAAAGGGGCGTCGTCAAGAGGATGGGATGCGATAGCGGTGGTTCAAGTTCAAGGGAAAAGCGGGAGGTGTTTAGGTAAAAAAAAAACAAGAGTGTTTTCATATAAACCCACACAAAATATAAAGAGCCAAAGGGCAGGAAAAGCCGGCGGAGAGTAATCTCAACCCAAAAATGAGTGCGAATACCAGGGTGGGGGTACGAGTAGGGGGCTATGAGTACCAGTATGAGTACGACTACGGGTTCCACCATGGCCAGGCATAAACATTTGACCTGAACAACTTTTGTAGACTGCCTGCCTCTTGTTGGGCAAGGTGGCACACGACGGAAAAGGGGGATTGGTATTGGGGTACGTTTTTAGGGTGGGGGATTCGAAATGGGAATGGGAATCGCAGGTAAAGAGTGCGACGCCAACGTAGACGTATGTGTGACGTCACGAGTCAAGTTCACGTGCTGTTCACGCAGCACAGTTTATTGACCCACTTTCGATGTGTATTATCTAGAAAAGCTGCCAACACGAGTCGTGAATGGGATGCGGGGAGGGGGGCTACTACTGGGTGGTCGTCCCACGGCAAAACATCCAATGAAAGTGCAAATAGCAAATGTGCTTGCCCATATAAAGCCGTTATTATCATAACATACTATGGGTAAATATACAACTACCTCCGATTAGAGCTGATTCATTGTGGCTTCTTCTTTGAACAAGTACTTTCGTTATTTAACAGAGGAGGTATATTACATATATACTACTGTCACACTACTGCTACATAGTAGGTTTAAGGGCATCTACAAGATGTTGTTTTCGAAGACTGAAGAAAGAACTTAGACAATCCATTAAAACCTCACGCCTAATTTTGCCTGCCAATATTTCTGTATTACATAAAACAGCCCAGCTGTTAGATGATCTAACTTAGATTTGCTTATATCTGTTTGTTAGGTGGCTACATATATCTTCTTTGGGATTCCGTTTTAAGAAGTTTTCCTCATATGTAAGTAAAAGGGCTCTGCTCGCGACAAGTATTACTTATAGTGCTTAAAATTCCCAGAAGATTCTAGTTCTTCCTTCAGAATCCATTTCCCAAACTGATTTTAAATCTCTTACCTGGTGCGGCGAGGGCGACGCCTGCGAGGGTTGAGGTGATGGACTGGGCGCATGGCCAGGACTGCTGCTGGGCGGCGGTCCGCCGGCGGTGACGTGTGGCGGTGGTGGCGGCTGCTGCTGCAGGGGCGGCACATGGTGCGGGGAGGCGGGCGGCAAGGGATGTCCGGGACCGGGGCTGGGCGAGGACCCACCTGGCCAAGGTCGATTCGGTTCGGGATACTGCACAAGGACATTATGAAATGGTTAAATGGTTAATTTTACCTCTTGTAAAAGTTACTCTCACCTGGTGCGTCGAGTAGGCAGTTCGATGGTTGGGTCCGCTCGCCGGCAGTCCCGGCGGTGTGGGATAGCGTTGCGGGTACGGCGAATATTGAGATGTTGGCGGTGTGTTTTGCTGCGGCGGCTGCTGTCCGGCGCCAGGAGGTGGTCCGCCCGGCACAGGACCGCCGGGCTGCTGTCCCGCCTGCTGTTGCTGCTGCTGCTGTTGTTGTTGCTGCTGCTGTTGCTGCTGCTGCGGCGAACTAGGATAGGAACCTGAATTTTGACCGTGAGCTGGCGGATAGGGTGACTGACCCCTGGAAGTATTTGTCTGTGGATGGAAAAACAAAACGGGATCAATAAAAGCCAAAGGAGACTCATAAATATCTAATGGTTGTCAAAGTTTAACCCTTTGCATACACTTAAGGAACTAACCTTAATGCTGAGATACTTTTCTAAGTCAGTTTAACAAAAACACGGACCCTTTGGATGTGGTATTTAGAGCCATTATAAAAAATTAAATAAATCAACTCGCCAATAAATATTGTATGTGCAATTTTCTAACAATTTGAGGATGTGTCACGTGGGTCCTTAGAGGGTTAAATTGTTGGTGCGACAGGGATGGCAGATGGGTTTTTAATTACAGACATCTCGCTCTGTCTCTCTCACTCTCTCTCTCTGTCGCTCTTTGACTCTCTATTTATATCCTCCCACACTCTTTTCCCCTGCAATTCATCAATTATTTGCGCTTGGCTCCGCCGATGTATTTTCGTCTGTGTGCGAACAGTGCACATTCCATTTTATTGTATATATCATTTTAATCGATATTCCACAACCAATTCCCGTAAATGCGCGCACAAATACACACCCTCGTGCTCATGTGTGTATTCGGTTCGGCACAGTGGATGTCCTCGGATTAGGACACTCTCTGCATTGGAAATTTCCAGCAATTAATATTCGATTGTGCAGCTGGGAAAACTAGACGATAATTGGAAATGACCCCGGCGACTGCACAAGTGCCCCTAATTATTTGGCGCCCACTGTAGCGTGTGTGTGTGTGTGTACACTGCACAATATTTAGGGGGAGGGGTAGAGATGGGAAGGGGTGAAAGGAGCGACATCGACGCACCCTCGGGTGTGCTGTCACTTGACAGTCACAAATGCGCAGATTAAAAAGAGACAGTTCAAAAAACATGCTGCCAAAGGAACCTAAATGCTGGCAATAAAAAGTGGAAATATTTACCACTATAACGGCAAAAACCCCCACACATTCGCTTATACAATGCAGGGCAGAATGATAGTTTTCTACTTATCAAGTATGTCCCAACTTAACTTGGGAACTATGGAGTAGTTCCTTAAAAAACTTTTGTAAAATGTGTATTATTAACAGATTTATAACTACCGATCATCTGCGTATAAATAAATGTTTAGACTTCCAATTTACGGAAGTTCAAATACCAGAGGATCTCTTATAAATGTCGTCAATAACTAAGATTCTTAGCGAAATTCCACATTGCTATGAAGGCGACCTGAACTGTGCATGTCCTCTCCAATCAGTTCAAATTACGACGCTCTGTCCTGAAGGAGGACGCATTACTGGTGGGGCAGGGATGCGGACAGTCGATTGCCTGCCACTCCTGGCTCTTGCTCCTGCTCCTGGATCTCCCTCCGCCACGCCGTGACCCACCACACACAGCACCAGCACCAGAGGAAGAAATCCACTTGAGTGGAATATAAAGTGAAACTTACGGACGCTCATACATGTACATGTGCAGAGGCGGCCAGGACAGACCAGGGTAGACCCGACCAGGCCAAGCCAACGACAAAGTTGCAACAAAGTCAGGGGAAAAGGAGCTTCGAGACGGAGAAGACACCTCTTGCTGCGGTACGTGGCCTGTGCTCGGCACAGACAACTGGAGCAGGACGAGCAAAAACCAGGCAAGGCAAGGAAAGGCATGCCATGTGCCATGTGCAAGTGGAAGTGCCTGTGTGTGGGAAAGAGCTTTGGATGCCATTAATGAAAGGATTTTCAACTTGACGTGGTGCGACAAGGCGGACCAAGTCGCAGCACACAGCACAGAGCACACAGCACAGCACAGCGACCGTCTGACATGGCAAGTGGAGAGGCGCTTGGCAAGCTCACAGACTTTCGGTTCGCCCTCGCAAACACAAAACCCCACAGCGGCGTACACACAAATGTAGCTGGGCAACAACATCGCTGCGAATGCCACAGCCCGGAGTAAAATGTGGCAATAAATCTAATGGAAACTCACAGCAATGAGGGAACGAACCGGAGAACCAACGGGCAAGAGTGCTGCCAGCTCAGCTACTTTTATGGCAAATTTGGCTATAATATTTAGCAAATATCAATAGATACTGAATATACAATGAGTGATTTTAAAAAACCCCTATTAAATTTATTTTTAGCTTCAAAGCTAGCTTACAATAATTGGATAATTTAATTTATTTAAATGGATTTTTCCAAAGGTAGTTAAAAAAATGGTTCACTTTAAACTGTTATGGTTTTTTTATGGTTACCAATGGTAGGTGAGTGGTTCTCAAACAGCTGTATAACCAAGCCTGATATTTGCCGTTGCTTTGCTTGGTTATACATGTGAAAATAAATTTAAGTGGCTAACAATTGAAATGCCGCTACTACATTAGTGCAAACAGTTATAAAACATGTGCCGAAACCCACGTAAAATAATATATCAAAATATAATATATCAAAACACCATAAAATGGATAGTCGTATTATTATAACCATTCCATTTTAAAAGTTTAGGAATCCCTAAGAAAACGCTATAGGTTTCTGTTTTATGTTTGGGATAGAAAGTAGTTTTAATGGTATACAACAAGGCTGTTGGTCATAGTAAACCTATATTAAGGAAATATTTCTAGAGAAGAGGTTTTATTTATATTATAAACTCTATAAGCAGTAGCTAAGTCTAAAAAGGCTGTTTTTCCATATGTATTTCCATAAGACAACACTGCTATCAACACAGCTTAGTTGGCCTGGCCAAAGGTAAGGAATGGTAAGGTAAGGAAAGGCATCTCAAGGCAAGGAAGCCAGCGCCATATAGCCAGAAACAGAAACGTAGACAGAACCAGAACCAAGCAACCAAGGGCCAAAGCCAGATCCCGTCGTTCGGGCAACGAGGACAACGACAACAACAACTACAACAATCGACAACAACGACGACGACGGTCGGTCGGTCGGTCGTTCAGTTCAGTTGGGTCGGTCCACTGCAGGGTGACAGGAAACATGAATGGATGGTTTTCGTGCTCCGCTGTGTGCGTGTGTATCTGTGTGCGGAGCGAACGAGCGAGGCAACGAGAAATAAAGTTAAAAAAAAAAAGGAAAAAAGAAAAAGGGAAAACTCATCATGGATGAAAATCAAAAGCAGAAACGGCAACGGCGGGTAGAAGCTGAAGTGGAATTTGAATTAATGCAGCAAGGGTCGTACGGTGGCACAAACAGACAGCACACACAAACGCACACACACACAATGAGTGTAACGAACGAATGACGGTTGGAACGAACGTCGGTCGGAATTAAGTTCGGGGAAATCGGGATCAGAGGCATGGAGGGGGTTCCACTGAACGGCCTGATGGTGGTTCTGAGTTCTGTTCTGAATTCTGGGCTTTGAGTTCGGGGTTCGGGGTTCCGAGCTCTGAGTTCCGAGTTCGGGGTCTGATGGTGGTAGGTTTTCCAGCTAAAAGCCGGCTACATGTATTATAATATCGCGGGAACAAAAACAAAGCGCAGCAGCCAAGGGAGTGGTCCTGGTCCTGGTCCTGTTTGCTTTCCTCTCCTCTGTACCCTCTCCTGTCCTGATCCTGGGTTTATAATTTCATAACGAACAGACACAGATACATACAAACACATACACACCCACGGGTGGAAGGCGATTGCATATAAATTGTGCGAAGGGAAAAACGTGGTAAATGCGATTTCGTGGCAGTAAAGGTAAAGCCGGCAGTTGTAAGGGTTGTATGAGGAGGTGGAAGAGGGTGGCATAGTATGGTACAGCAGAGTGAGTGGGTGGGGGGCGCCCGGAATGGATGTCCCTGCAGGCTGCCCCTGCTGTTGCTGCCGGCAAATGGGAGGAAGGAATTACGTGCACAACTCTCGGGCGGGCGTAATTTTTAATACAATGTCGCACTCTCCACGCGCCCATTCACATTTGCAGCAGTTGCGGAAAGATAAACAAGGCAACTGAAATAAACCAATGCAGTCCCCGACACCAACTGTCGCAAAATATTACGAACGAAATTTTGAGCGATTACTTCTTGGCCTCTGTTGTAATGCTATTTAATTAAATTGAATAAGCGATTTTTGAAAGGTTGTTTCAATCAATTAGGCATTGTTTTTTTAGGAACCATATTATACTATTCCAGTAACAGATCCTTGATTATTAATTTTTAAAATCATTAGCAAGAAGTGTTTCTATTGGGATGTCTTGAAAGATAAAAATATTATTAAAATGTTCGTTGAGTTCTTTCAAAGAGGACCTAAGTCCATATAAAAGAAGTTGACGAAGACAGAGTTATGTCTATGGATATTTCTAGTGTAATGAACATTTTGGCAACCAATATAACAGATTTTACAGTGGGATGAGTCTTGGAAGGGAGGCCAACAGGAAGGTCCTTTCCAAGCGAAAGGCACAAAAAGGAGGCAGTCAGAAGGAAGAAGAGGAAGAGGAAGAGCCACGGCAAGCAGGGACAATAACAGTTAAGGCAACGGTTTTGTGTGCTCCACTTTTTGTAGGTCAAACTTTAAAGGCACTCCAATACAGGCACGCCAACCCATACATGCGAAGAAACAGCATAAACAAGCCGGCACACAGACAGCAGTTCTCTCTCGAACAAAAAAAAAAAAAAGGGAACGGAACAGAAAGCAAGAGGTGGGGGAGTAGGAAGAAGGCCAAAAAGGAACAACAAAGACACAAACATAATAGAGTGGTTAATGCAATGCCGTTTGCTTTCCCCAAAAAATAACAGACATGAAGACCCAAAGAATAAAAAGAGGCCTTAGCCTTTAAGCTCTTTAATATATGCCAAAAGTGTTGTTGTACTCCTTGCTGCACCTGTTGACCTCAAAGGAGAATCAAACGTCAAGGATATATGAGCAGCATAACGGGATGCAGCACACTTGCAGTCAAAGAAAGAGATGGGTGTGGGTAAGTGGGCATGGGTGGGGTAGCGAGGGAGTGCGAGTGAGCCAAGTCATGTCATCATCATAGTCGAGCCCTCCTCCACCTCCTCTCTTTTGACTGTGCGCGGTTTCACTTGATTTTCATTTTTATTTTGTTTTGGTTTCTGCTTCCTCCACAGCTTGCCGGCTAACCCCTCCTCCTCCACCACCTCCTCCTCCTTCTGCTACCCCAAAAGAGAGAGGGAGGGAGAGTCAGCTGTGACAACAACAAGTTTCTCTGTTATTGCCTTTGATTACGGTGCCTACTTGGCCATTGTTGTTGTTGCTGTTTCGGTTGTACCTCTATGTATGCTTGTGGATGTATGTACTGTATATTGTACATATGTATTTATTGCATGCACGCGTAAGTCACACTCTGCCGGCAATTTGATTTCTTTGTTTATGCACACAAGCCCACAGAGCGAGACAAACAATCAAACACATGACATTGGATAGCAGCGGTTTCTAGACTCTTTTTTTTATATTTTTTTTTATCTCGCACTACCCACAAACACACACTCACTCACTCGCCCATAAACAAAAGCTCTCGAAGGTCGCATCACATCGCATCGCATCGCACATGTCTAACCCTAGCGGATCGCTTTGATTTGTGTGCTCACATAGATTTGTTTATATTTCTCTGGCTAATCGTCGGCATCAAAGTTCGTTGACTCGCATTCGAGACATTTCATCTACATCCACACACCATTCGTGAAAAAAAAAACTCGATCCTATTGCAGCGACATCGAACATGCCAAAAGCAGAATAATGACTAAACAGATACGGAATCGGGTCACCAATATCAGTTGATAAGGTTGCGGGGGGTAAGCCCCCACAAAACTACCTCACTACCCCAGTAATAAAACAATTAACCGGTTTCCGTATAAATCAAAACGTGAAATCGCATCACGTGCTCCATGGGAACAACAAACCAAACATTTAACAAAAAAAATTCAACCTCAAGCGCATTATCGGTTGAACACAACTGATAGCAAAGAAACAATACCAGGGATTATAATGAAACCCAAAGCTCTTTGATTGGGTTTTTTTACCTTGAATTTAAAGGCAGTAACTTGAAAGTCAAGACGTATCAAAGGCTAGATTGCCTGACCAATCAACTATGGTACTATTATTATACTATACTATACAAAGAAAGATACTATTTTGTTTGAAATTCCATATACCAGAAAATTCCAGCTACCTTAAAACTTGGAGTCAATTACATACTAACTTCCTACGAGTTAACACATCTTGCTCCCCAGTTCTTAGGATCTACTAAATTGTGTACTACGCACTTTGTAAAGTCAAGAACAAGTAACTAAGTCAAAATAAGTATTGCATAGCATGTATCTGAAACCATACTCTTTCGTACTTTTTATAGTTACATATATTACTTTTGGAACTAATCAATGCAGCTCTAAACTTTTAAAGTTATTCCAATCAGATTCGAGGCCAACTGCCGTCGATAAGGAAGGTTGACAAGAAGAGAAAAGAAACCCCCAAAACCTTAAAAAAAAAAAGTTGAATGAATGGAATGCCTCAACATTTTTGTGTACGAAACTCTTTCTTGTTATTCCCCTGCTTCTTCTTCATTTTACCGTTGCGGTGCGGCCTTTTGTTGTTATTGTTTTGCGGCGGCAAGTGCCGGTTCTTAGTGTCCCTCTCCCTCTCCCTCATTCAACCGACTTCACCCAACAGCAGCAACAACAACACCCGGCACTTAAACAGCGAAATGTCAAGGGGTGGGGGGATATGCAGGAGGAGGAGAAGTGGACTAAGGGGGAGGGGCAGGCGAAAAAGGCGCGGAATCTCTGTACAATGTTTTTACTTTATGTGTGTCAGTGTGTCTGCTGCTTCTGCCCTTTTTTCATTTCTTCTTCCTTCGAGTGGGTCTTGGCAAATCTTCAGTGAACTGAATGAAGTGCGACCAAGGCGAAACCCTAAAAAGTAACAGTAAATATTGCAGCCTCCCTCCCACACACTCACACACACACTCTGCCGCAAATACATGTGCACAAAACGTGACGAGCCCCTCTCCGTGGAATGAGTGGGCAGTGGGTGGGACGAGAAGGGGCCGGGAGATAGCTAGCACAAAGCCACCAGCGACAACCACAACAACAAGAAACACATGCCGAGGAGGCCTGCACATGGAAATGCTCCAGTGTGTGTGTGGGGTCGATGGAATCAAAATCAGTGTCAATGTCAAGACAGCTCTAAAAAAAACATAAAGAACATATAAGGAAATCACTGGCGATAAGACTCATGATACTCAGTTCCTAATTTGTGGCCAAAGAAGAAGGTTGCCCAGGCACCAAAGTGGCACCATCTCCGGTGATTTGTTAAAATCAGCAACATACCATCCATTTCATGATGAAATATGTCTTAAATTTTATGAGTTTAACAACTTAAAGGTCCTACCCTTAAGGTTTTAAATGTTTCAAATAACTGGTTACTTTCTTAAATACAAAAGACCTGATGAGGCTGTTCAAGAGAAACCTTATTTAGACTCAGTTTTGTCAAAGACTTAACCCTTGTGAACAGTGAATATCTAAACCCAACTTATTTCTTAAGCTAAAACTACGTAACATCTAAACCTTTTTATAGAGAATCAATTAAAAAGCTGCCTATAGAAAACAGGAAACCCCCAGTTAAGCTCGATTTAAAACCTCTCAATATGAAAATTGGAAAGCGACACCTTTCATTCTTCTAAGATATGATTAGCAACGCGTTGGTTGTTTTCTTTTCGCTAAGCGATACAAAATAATGTAGTGTTCAATATTATCGAAAGGAAACCTTCACATCCTATAGATAAACAACAAACCCTTATTTGTGGAAAAGAAGTCCTTTTTATCTAGAGGATACTTCCCGGATCCTATCAAGAAACCAAATGCATCCATTTGTCTAGAAAATATTATTCCTCTTAAAACCCTTTTTATAAAAAAGATTCTCCTTGATTCTATATACGATTGCGTCTAGTAGAGTAGCTCCCCAGAGCCTACTTCACGATCTTATTAAGAAACCATATACCATATTTCATCTAGTAGACAAGCTTCCTACTTGACACCCCCCGAAAACCTTTCAATCAAGAAGAGTCTTCTTGATACTTTATACTCTTACGCCTAGTAGAGTAGCGCCCCACTTGGAACCCTGGTAACCCACTATCACTTACCGGTGGTGGTGTCCTGTACTGCTGCGACGGTCCCAGCTGCGGACTGTAGGGCCGTGGAGGCGGTGCCCAGCCGCCCTGCTGCGCCCCGTACGGCGATGGCTGGTGTTGCGGAGGCGGAGGTCCGTGTCCCGGGGGCGGTGGTCCGCCTCCTTGCTGCTGAGCAGCCGCCGCCGCCGCTGCCGCCGAAGCGGCCGCCTGTTGGGGATCGTAGGTGTTGGCATAGCGGTGCTGCGGTGGTGGCGGCGGATTCGAGGACTGCAACAGCGAGTTCAGCGTGGGCGTGGGACCCTGCGGCGGCTGTCCGGGTATGTAACGCTGCTGCGGCGGACGATTGGGTGAACCACCGGGTCCCGGCTGCTGCGGCGGTTGCTGCTGAGGATGTGGCTGCTGCTGCTGCTGTTGCTGTGGAGGCTTTCCACCGGGCAGCGGTTGGCCATAGCGATAGGGATCCATGTTGGGATCGGCGTGGTAGCGACCGTAGGCCGGATGCGGATGCGGCGGCGGCAGGTGGGCGTACTCCTCCTTGACGCCGGGCGCATGCTCAGGTGCTCCTCCGGGCGGCGGCGGGGCAGGTCCGCCGTGGTGCTGCTGCTGCTGCTGTTGTTGTTGCTGCTGCTGCTGCATGTGGGGCGGTGGCGGATGCTGCTGTTGCTGGTGCAGATGGTGATAGTGCATGACTGCAGCGGGATCCGGTCCTGGTGGTCCTCCAGGCGCGGATCCTGGGGGCGGTGGTGCGCCGTATGGATGTGGGGCAACATTTTGCTGTTGTTGCTGCTGCTGTTGGATGCTGGGATCACTGCCGTTGTTGCTATTGTTGTTGGGCGTGGGCGGACCCGAGGTGGGCGGTGTGGCACCACCACCAGGAGCCGCTCCAGCCGATGGGGGCGTGGCAGCGGGGGCAGGAGCGCCACCTTGCTGCTGCTGCGTTTGCGGCGACTTTATTTTCTCATTCATGGCTGCTCATCGGCTGCGCTGCTGCTGCTGGCTACTATGCTCCCGGCGATCGGATTTTCCCAGATTTGTGGCGGCTACTGATGGAGCACCGGTAACCACCAACAACAACAACGCTGACGCTGATGATGACGACGACGACTGCAGCGGCGAGTTTGAGGTTATGTTAGCTGCAAGTTATCAAAAACGGGGGATTAGCATTTGGCAAGGGGATCTAACCTATTAGGGGGGGAGGGTTCCTACGCTTCCTACATATCACTGGGCCCAAATCGAGCGGGTTAAACATAAATAATTTGTACTCGTTCATGGGCTGTTGTGTATTGAAAAGTCCGCTACCAACACACACTCACACGCACACATGCTCGCACCAATACCACACAACAACAATTTATTTTCTGCCGCGTACGGTGGCCAAAGCAAATCGAAGTGCGTTGACAACCCTGCCGCTGCCGCTCTCGCAGTTTGAGCGCAGCCACTAACTCGCTCTCGCTGGCATGCTCTCTCGCTCTCGCTCTCTCTCTTTTCACATTTGGCGGCTATACACGCACACGCCGTATCCCTTTCCGTCTCACTTGCACTTGCTAGCCAGCCAGGCAACATGCATACGCCGCTCTCGCTCGCTCTCTCGCTTTATTAGTTTCTCTGTGTGAAACGAATGAAACGGGCAGCACAGTAATGATTTTTTCGTAATTATTTTCTATGCCGATTTTTCGCGTTTACACAGCACTGGAATGGAATGGCCAAGGGGCACCACTCTCAACTAAACTCACAATTCAAATATGTATTTCTCAGATGCGGCAATTGTTTAACTTTTCTTTGTTTTTCAGGGGGGAAAAGGAGAGAAGTTGGGGAGTGGAGGATGGGTCTAGCTAACTTTTGGGATTTATAAATAATTGCCGCGCCTGCTTGGCCGCGTTTGTTGCGTTGCGCGTTCACTTTTGCCGCTGCCCGTTTTCGTTTTTTGTTTCTTTCCGTTCGTCGTTTCTTGATTCGATTTTTGCGGTTTTTCGCCAAGTGTTGATGATGATGATGATGCAAGGATTCGACATCCAATCATTTGCATATGTATACACACACACTCACACACGCACACACACACAGCCTCCAAAGTGCATCGTCGAGAGGAGAGAGAGAAACTGAATTTTTCACTCGCCCTCGGGCGAAAGTCCGGCGGCAGATTGTTGTTGGCCAAGACGACTCAATATATATTTGGGGCTCTGGCTTCGGTTTTGGTTTTGCGTTTTTTGGGGCTTGGGGCTTTGCTTTTCTTAACCAAAAATCTACATACACGCACACCACTTACACATAGAAGAATATTCACGCATTGACGACCGTCCACAGACTGGCTATATATACTAAAAACGAACTCGCGTGAGAAGACAGGGACAGGGCAGCAAACTCGGTATACGAACGGAACGAATGAAACGATTCGAGTAGTAGTAGTGCAAGGCAAGTCTTGTCTGTCTGGCGTTCTTTTTTTCTATCTTTTTCGTTTGCTTGGGGCGCTGCCAAAACGCTGCTGCGGCGGCCACAATCACACGCGGCTGATCGCCAGTTGGGCCCTGCACAGGCTGCACATACTTTTCACTTTTAATGCGCTGTATTTCACTTAATTTTCGAACAAATTCGCAGCATGACGACGAAGCGAGCCTGTACAAACGCGATAGTATCGATACAATATTCGCGTTTGCGATACCCTATCGGGGTTTGGTTTCGATAGCGCGGCATACATACATTCTGCTTGTTGCTTGGGATACCCTTTGAGATTGCTAAACTGTATTTGGTTACATTTTTTCAATTTTCTCTCAGCCGATGTACTACATTCTGTTCGGCTTTTTAGTTTTTTAATTTGCGAGTATCGATACTTGGCAGGCAGCAACGCGAAAATGAGCCAAAATCGATAACGTTTCCTGTCAACTCTGGGACGCCATCATTATTGCGGTACATTAATCGATGCTAAGTATCGATGCCAATCGATAGGCGACTATTCGTTGAATTTACCTTTGTCGGCCGGATTATTTGTAATACTCGATATTCGACATTCGATGTCAGAAAGTCAACCGTTTAAGGAATCCGCTAAATTTGAATATTTGTATACATCCAACTTATATTAACTTACTTTTGCGGTCTTGGACTTCCAATTGTTACCAATTCAAACGAGGAGCGCCACGGATGACTAACTGTGGCCGTTCTCTAAAATGGGAAATGATTGCTAATTAATTATGGTTGCTGAACGATTTAAAAACGCGTCCCATCACCACCCAGTGCTGATAATAAGAATAATAATAATTAAAACTACTTAATATTTTAAATACGCTTACGGAATAGTGATGGCTTGTAATGTTTGTATCAAATCAAAGCGACAAACAAGATGTTAATATTTACATTAGAAGAATATCCCTATCGCTATAGTATCGATGGTCGCCAAAATCATCGGAAAAACTTAGATGGCACAACTATCGATATTTTAACAGGCCTATCGATACTTAGATATTGCGCTAACAGCACGCTGTTATTGTGTACGTTAACAGCTGTTATTAAAAATTAACTGCTTTTTCATAGTCGTTATACACTGCTTTCCTCTAACGGGTTTTTAAAAGGTCTGATTTTAAATATTTGAATTTAAGCAACTGGACGACAAATTTTTAACATTTTCTTAGTTTTAGTAAATTGATCAAATTATACAAGAAATTATTTTTGCTGTAGTTCTATCGTTTTATTTTATGTTGTTTTCAGCTTTTTAGTTTTCTGACAATGTTTCCTCACAAGTTTTCGACATAATTTAAGTAAAATCACCACAAGCAACAAGGGTATTGCAAAAAGTACAGCCAAAGTGTCCAGGCTGTGGAATTGAATGAAGTTGAGATCTCTAGAGGCTGAACGGAGATGAGAGGCACCCTTGTGCCTGATTATATATTCCGTCCACGAGATAGCCCGATCGAGAGGTGTCTGCGGTTGATCGTGGAATCGCGCTGAAACTTCCGCCGCGGTCTTGGCAAAACTTGGAGTGCTTAGGAGAGTTTGAATGGCGTTTTCGAGATCCTTTTGTTTAAGATTATTCACATCCAGTCCCAAACCGAAGCCCATTTTCTGGGCTCTAAGCACATTAATGTACTGATCAAAGTAGCAAGGCAATCCCAAGATGGGTTTGCCAAAATAAACACTTTCAACGGTGCTCAGCTGCCCACCATGGGTAATAAAGATTTTGACATTTGGATGTGATAGGATATCTGCCTGGGGGAACCATTTCCTGATCATCACATTGTCTGGCTTTCCAGGCATCTCGTCGTGGTCGATTTTCCAAAGAACCCGGAGATTTAATTTCGAGAAGGTTTTCTGCAGCGTTTCACGTGTTTCATTCCCTAGATCGGCAAATTTCACATTGGATCCCATGGAGAAGTATATAACACCATCGGGAGAACTCTCAATGAACTCCTTGATATCCTGTGGCAGGGGTTTTGGTTGGTGGCTAATGTGCAGTCCACCGACCTCTATCATGTTGGGCAAATAGGGTCTCGGATGGCTCAGGGAAAAGTGCTGACCTATCAAAACCATTGCGAAACTGTTCAAAACCTCTTCCATCGTTTGCCTGGCATTCGAAAAGTATTTGTCATACATTTTTTGCATAGCAGGCAGGTGAATGAGATGCCTATGTATTTTCTCCACGAGGTATTCGTAGTGATTAACCAAGCGCTCTAGGAAGGTCATTCTATCAGTGCGGGAAGAGGCCACTAACGGGCTATATGAGATGGGTGAAGTGTTTCCAAAGGCCTCATCCACGCGGTGATCCGTTCCAAAACTAAGGAACCCAGCCAGGGTGGCATTGAAGTGCTGGGCAAGACCGTACAAGGGTTCCATTTGCTCCATTTCAGCCAAAACCAGATCGAAAGTTTCTCCAGATCTCAGCAGCTTTTGGACATCTTCGTCTTCCATTATTAACTCCGTGAATTTAATCACAATTTTATCCCATGCGTTCAGTATTTGCCAATGAAAGGTTTCATTCAGCAGATCCATCATTTCTATTGGGTAAATTAAGAACAATATATTATAAAAAAAATCGAATAAAGGATATTACAATTCAAATAACAACACAATTAATTATATCAGAAACAGAACCTTGATGGTGATCATGCGCCTTATGAGCCTCTATAAATCGCACATTTGGTATTTCCCCATTCTTGAAAGTATTAATCACGGTCACTTGGTGACCTTTGGCGGCCAGGGCTTTCAAATAGGTCTCCAGAAAAATGTACTGAGAGCGGCCAGGAAATGGAAAAGTGGCCAGGATTTTTGCACTATCCGTTAAAAGAGGATTGGAGCCCAATGTGCAAAACACATAAATTAAACAAAATAATCTCATATTAACCAGCTCACTGCAAAGTACTGCGAACAACTAAATCGTTTGCTTGGCCAATACTGCTGATTAATTTCTGTTACTTTTTTCTGATAGCAAACAAGCTTTTGCTTTTGCAAAAAAATACACTTTGTTTTTATTTCTAATAAACAAACCGAAGATTAAAAGGTATCTTCGCACTCAAATGAAACGTATTCTTTAAATTTTGTTTGTTTTTTCATATCAATTTGTTTTATAAAAGGTACATTGTAAGTGTCGATAACAACCTATTTTTGATTTTCTTACAAATAGATCGCAATTGGACTTAAAAATTACTATAAATATTTATATATATATTTTGTTCAGCGCACTGCTTGCGCAAAAAGGCATTAACAGTAGTTGCGCTTAACAGCACAGTGTTATTGCACAACAGCACACTGAAAATCGTTCTGCATTGTTATCGAGTATTCCTGACATCGAATAAAAATGGCGGCATTTCAAGTTTAATTCAACGCGTTTAGGTTGAGTTTCTTTACAAAAATATATAAAGCGAAATTAAATGAAATATTGCTTGTTTTGTCTTTGTTTGTATTTAAGCGCAAAATGAGACGCTTTTGGTTAATTTCGGTGCTTTTAGTTGTGACGCAATTTAGCGAATCACAGACGGCGGCGTTTACCGTGCGCCAAAACCGTTTTGATGATGTTCCCAATCTGCAGACTCCAGCGCCAGTGGCTAGTTCCACGAAAACTACTAAAAAAGCCGAAACAGGTTAGTATGGATTAAGCAAGTTAAACAAATTAGTATAAATTGATCTTCCAACTTTCAAAATGGCGTTCAGGATAAACGGTACTTCTTTCGATAGCTATCTGTCTCGCTCTTTAGCCTCTGTTCTCTTATGTAACGGTTTTTGGACCAATGTCGTCTCGATATACACTGAAAAAACAACTCGAACTCGTTTTGATTTTAAATCCGCTATTAATGGTCGATTTTTAGTCTATAATTAAGAAATAAAAAAAGAACTTATAAACCGACATAATCATAATATTAGTGCAAATCCAAATACTCGTAAAATCTTTTAACACATTTCAAAATTTCTTCAATTAATTCCCGATTTTTTTCTGTTCAGTCACCAGCGGTCTGCTGAAAAAATGTCTGCCCTGCAATGACGGTGTAAAATGCGTGCCCCAAATCCAGTGTCCCGCCCACGTTCGCATGGAAAGTCATGATAAACCGCAGATTTGCGATCTGCCGGCTGGGAAATTCGGCTTCTGCTGCCAGACGGGACAGAATCACACTGCCCCAAGGCAGGAGGAGATCTCCTCCAAGGAGCGGCGATCCGGAATTCCCACCATCCTTCCGCTATCGGTCTTGGATGAAGCACGTCGCAATTTCGAGCACCTGATGCACGGAATTGCCCAGATTCCCGTGCGTCGTGGTTTTCCGGACTTTGCCCACGGCCTGGTGTTCCATTCAACGGCCAAAGATGACCTGCATAACTTTGCCATCTCGAACAGTGCTATCGAGCAGGTGATGACCACCCAGTTGTTTGGCAAGAAGGAGCAGGTACCCGTGGAAGACTTCATTACCAACAATGTGCCCGTCAAGTTCACGGAGACTCCCTTGGCCCAGCATTGCCAGCCGCCTCCGCTTTGCCGGAATATCCGCTCGGTTTATCGCAGTCTCGATGGCACCTGCAACAATCCCCTGCCACAGAGATCACTGTGGGGCGCTGCCGGTCAGCCCATGGAGCGCCTGTTGCCTCCCGCCTATGAGGACGGGATCTGGACACCACGTGCCCGTTCCGCCGACGGCACTCCCCTCCTGGGCCCCCGCAAGATCTCACGCACCCTGCTCTCGGACGTTGATCGTCCGCATCCCATCTACAATTTGCTCGTGATGCAGTTCGGACAGGTCGTGGTAGGTAACCGGATGGGCAGAACTCTAATAAAAATTTTGAAATGTAAATGAATTATAATTCTTTTAAAAGGCCTGGCCTACCTATCAAATGAGCAATTAATCGATATATTGATATATTATCAGCTAAAAATGTTTTGGCAGTTGATACTATTTCTTGTTTTATTTTATTTTCAGGCCCACGACATTTCGCAAACCTCTTCGGTGCGTCTTGAGGATGGAAACCTGGTGCAGTGTTGCTCCCCCGAGGGAAAAGTCGCTCTAAGTCCTCAGGAAAGTCATTTCGCCTGCATGCCCATCCACGTCGAACAAGATGATGACTTTTACGCAGCCTTTGGAGTGCGTTGCTTGAACTTTGTTAGGTTGTCACTGGTGCCCAGTCCCGACTGCCAACTTGGCTACGGCAAGCAGATGAGCAAGGTGACCCACTTTTTGGATGCCTCACCGGTTTATGGATCCAGTGATGAGGCATCTCGAAGCCTGAGGGCCTTCCGAGGTGGTCGTCTGCGAATGATGAATGATTTCGGGCGGGATTTGCTACCTCTAACGAACGACAAGAATGCCTGCCCCAGCGAGGAGGCCGGAAAGTCCTGTTTCCACTCGGGTAAATAACCCTCAAGAAATGTAAACATTTGCTAATATTTTGCTACGTTTTCAGGCGATGGCCGAACCAATCAAATCATATCCCTGATCACCCTTCAAATTCTGCTGGCTCGCGAGCACAATCGTGTGGCAGACGCCTTGAGCCAACTGAATCCCTCAGCCAGCGATGAGTGGCTTTTCCAGGAGGCTCGACGCATAGTGATTGCCGAAATGCAGCACATCACCTACAACGAATTCTTGCCCATTATCATTGGGCCGCAGCAGATGAAACGCTTCCGCTTGGTGCCACTGCATCAGGGCTATGCTCACGACTACAATGTGAATGTCAACCCGTCCATAACCAACGAATTCTCAGGCGCAGCCTATCGCATGGGTCATTCCAGGTGGGGTAATTTAATTATTGCACAAATTTAGATTTTAAAACTTTGCCTGCAGTGTCGATGGCAAGTTCCACATTCGCCAGGAGCATGGTCGCATCGATGAGGTAGTCAATATTCCGGATGTGATGTTTAATCCTTCGCGGATGCGCAAGCGCGAGTTCTATGACGACATGTTGCGCACTCTTTACAGCCAGCCCATGCAGCAGGTGGACAGTTCAATTAGCCAGGGAGTAGGGATTAACCTTTATTCATTAGTTGCATGTGGTTTTCTAATTGGCATTTCCCCTGAGCAGCTCAGCCGTTTCCTGTTCCGCGGCGATAATCCATTTGGCCTGGACCTGGCCGCCATTAACATTCAGCGAGGACGCGACCAAGGTCTTCGTAGCTACAATGATTACTTGGAGCTGATGGGGGCACCCAAGCTGCAGGCCTTCGAACAATTTTCTAGTGAGGTGGGTTAAATTAAGAAACTAGTTTATGCTTAAAAGAATGAAAAATAAGTATATATACCATCTAATCTATTCATATATCTTTCAGATTGGCCAGAAGCTTTCCCGCGTTTATCGTACACCCGACGATATTGATCTATGGGTGGGCGGTCTGCTGGAGAAGTCCGTCGAGGGTGGCGTTGTGGGCATGACCTTTGCCGAGATCATAGCCGATCAGTTTGCCCGCTTCAAGCAGGGCGATCGCTACTACTATGAGTACGATAATGGGGTGAATCCTGGCGCATTCAATCCCCAGCAGCTACAGCAGATTCGTAAGGCGACGTTGGCCCGCTTGATCTGCGACAATTCAGACCGTCTCACCCTGCAAGCGGTGCCATTGGCCGCATTCATTCGGGCTGATCATCCTGAGTAAGTGAAGTCCAAAATGACCTGGTCGATTTCTTTAGTGACTTGCTTATTTCTTTATAGCAACCAAATGATTGGCTGTGATGATCCCAGCCTGCCTGCTGTTAACTTGGCGGCATGGCGCACTTGAGATAATTTTTTAAATGCACTTTTAATTTATTTATCGAGTTTTTAAACTGTATTTTATATATGCGAATGTTCGGCCGAATTGTATATCCCCATTTTATGTAACTGCGCGGCTTAACAAAGAAGCTAAAATAAAGCCGCGATCGATTAAGCTGATTTCCATTGCTAATTAAGCGCAAATTTCTTTGTCCCCGAAGAATATATTTCTTATTTTTTCAATCTTAAGCTCTCTGCCTTCCTTTTGGCCCTCTGTCCTTTTTGGTATTACAAATATTTATACCCGATAACCCAGAAGTTGTCATTCATATTCGGGATCTCACTAATTTCTTAACTCAATTGACTCTAATTTGTTTTGCACTTCTGTTACTGTTATGATATATGTATGTGAATATTTATATGTTTGTTTCTGGCCTGGTAGATTCGCTTTGGATTATCTAGTCAATTAGTGGCTGTTCGCATTTGTAAATAACATGATATGCAAATATCAAGCTAAATTAAAATGTATAACAGAATATTATTAAATGTCTATATCAATTCCGCTCCATTTCACAGTGAGTTGTGTGTCGACAGGTATCTGTGAAGTCTTGTTTAACCTTAGATATTCGCTATTTGAGCTCCTATTTTTACATTCCTTACGTAAGTCATGTCAACTTACAAGTTGCGGAAAATATGCGCCGTTTAAAATCTGCGCTGACACTTAAATATCTTGGCAATTCAACAAATTTCCAGATGATAACAAACTTTATTATTGAACTTTCCAATTTATTAGGGAGATTCAAATTTGTTTGGATAATTTAATATATTTTTCAAATTCTAAACTCGTATATTTGGGTAATTTTTGCGGTTACGGCACGATATGTAGATTAATACAATAAACAAAGACTAAATTTAAATAAGGTGGGATGTTGTGGGTGTCTAGAGGAATAATACCGGTACTGTCGGTTCTTTTCTATATTTACTTAAAAGTTTCCTTCGCTAATCCAGGGGCACGGCGTCAATAAGTTTGTTAAACAACTTTGATTCGATGCACTGCCACCGAAAACCGAAAAGACTGGCTCATCCCAGCTTGAATTTTTACTGCATGCTTTCAGAGCACACTTTTGCCCGATTTAAACTGGTTTTATGTCTCATATTTTCACCAATTAGTGAGCTTAAGCACATCATAACAACAAAAAGCGATGCCTCCATTTAATTTGTCGCTGCCCTGAATGGGACGGGCCATCGATTTGTGAATTATAATTAAGTCGTAGCCGTGAGTTCACTAGATGTTTTGTTTTTTTCAATTTTTTTTTTGAGCATTTCAATTAATATTTGTTTTTTCCAGACACCCGCGGCAAGGGATTAGCGTATGCGATCACAGGGGAAGCACAAACTGGGATAATTGTTTTACCCAGCATGGGCACCACGATGATGACGATTGCGACGTTAGCTGCTGGTTAGCTGGCTAGGACCAGTCATTCTTTATTGATGAACTTGCCAATGGCGAAATGTGACAATTGAAACTCAACCGACCACCAAAAACGATTAGGCGGGGCAAACCAGAGTCTACTGACGTCCGTATACGTTCTCATCGGAATAGGAAATGTAGAGGAAGTAGTCCTTGTCGAAGTGCTCCTGGTACAGTGCCCCCATGGTGGCCGATGTCGGAGGTATCACGTTGTTCACGAAGAAGAAGAGGGCGTCGTCGGGACGCAGATTGATGCGCTTGCGGATGAGGAAATAGAACTGACCCACCGTCAGGTCAGCCGGCACCAGGTACTTCTTCTTGTCCAGATCGACGTAGCGCGTCTTCGGGGCCTTCTCCACGATCACGGGCACACGGTCCGGATACTTGCGCCGGATCTTGTCGCCCTCGTTGCGCCGCTTATCGAAGGTGTGATCCTTCTTGTACTGGAAGTGCATGTCCATCTCTGGGCAGACTGGTGTTCGAATCGAAACGGGCGAAACAAGGATTTTTGTTTTGGATTTGGTAGGTCTATTGGAGCTGCCGTTTGTAGTTCCCAATAAGTTTGTTTTCTACTCTTTACTACACGGCTAGCTTTGGCAGATAAGCAAGGGCCTCCTTGTGTAATGACTCATGTTTCGATTTCAGTATTTAGTATATAAGCGTTACGGTCTGGGCTTTTAATGATTTTTGACTTACTCGCACACGTTTTGTTTATAATGATTTTGATCTTTGGAACGTGGAATTACATAAATCATTAGGAATGTTCCATAAATGCCTTTTATAAAAATTGGGATCTTATTAAACCAAAGATTTATCGAAATATGTATAGAATCCTGCGGTTTAAAAGTTTAATAACATTTACATTTCATTTTTATAATTACCATTTTGAAATAACAAATTAAAGACCGAAAGAAAATGCACATATTTTCCTGAAACGTATAAAAATGATATATTATACTGTGATAGGCTTTGTTTAATTGTGTAAATCAATCAATTAAAAATGATGATTAATCGCGGGTTTTAATATTAAACAATGATACAATCCGTAATTAAGGACCCAAGGAGCTATTCCTTCGAGGCCTCCTTAGGACCGACCGCAAGTCGGCTCAACAAGTGTGTATGCAGGGCCCCCAAAAGGCGAAAGCTTTCACCTGAACCGACCGTAACAACAGTAACACAACAGTATACAAAGCTAAAACAAATATGTGTGTTCCGTCGTTACAGGCTGCTCGGCTCGTCGTTCGGACCACCTCTTGAGCTCCAGCTCTCATTTCGCTATAGCTGCTGGAGCTGCTCGGTTGGTCGCGCTCGCTGCCTCGGCTGCTCGTCGTCGCCCCCACTTCCGTATTTTGGCATAGTTCGTGGCTCATTGGCTTCCGGTTTGGTGCCAAGGAATTAGTCCCTGTGCAACAGGTGTATTCAACAATTGGTCGAAGACAACTAGAAAAAAAAATCAAAAGTCATCAGTTCCGGTGAGCAACATCATGTGGTAAAGATTCCTTTGTGGCTGGAATTGTTTATAGAAAAGAAAATCGGGAAAATTAACGCGGCTGTGCGTGTGTTAAACATTTTTAAACAACAAACCGCCTGACCAAATTTACTGACAACGTTCGGAAAATCCATTATAATTTCGTATTTATAGGCCCATGTGATGTTCTGAAAAATATATTTCACGATCCCTCCTTCGACGGTGAATGTGAGTGTTTTTGTGCAAAAGCCTTCCCGTAAAATTATCAAATTCAGTTCCGCCCAAAAATCCATTCTCGATTTTAGTGGCGATAAGCTATAAATATGGACAGCTAATCTATGTGTCTATACCCCCGATTGTATAGACGTACATGGCAATTACTAATTAAACTCACGGGTGCGAAGCAATTCCCCAATTGTATTCCGTAATCTTAAAAGTAATCGGCTTAATGGTGTGTTCCTTGAGTGCACTGCAAAATGCAGTTGCAGCTGCTTATTTTGCTCAAGTTTGTGAGATGAGGTGAGCTGAGATGGGATTCGATTCGATTTGATTCGATTGAAATGGACTGATTTTGTGAGGTGAATTGTCATTCGACAGAGTGTCGGCATTACCATGTATCCGCTAATAGATGGATATTAATAGACTTCAAAATTCAAAAAGATTTCTTCATAACTTTGGATGTACAGCATGCTTGGCACGTATTTTCGTAATGTTGATAATAAAATTTAATTAAAACTGAAGTGCAATTTGCCAACAGACCACCGAAACAGAAAGTTTCTGCGGCCACTCAACTAGAACATTCTAATTTGATTTATACGAACATTTTGTCGCTGCTCGAAAAACTCATACTAACTTGTTTTATAATGTTGTTAATGCGGTAATTAACATTGATTCGTTAAAAACGACACTAGAACTTTTGACATTAGAAGTGTATTCTATGGGCTGGAACATTTTAAGTTCCTCCCACTTAATACTTAACGTGGATGCTTTGATTACTCCATTCAATGGCAGCCACTCGAAAATTCAAAGAGCAGCAAATAAAAACCAATTAGAGAAATTAGTTAAATGGTTTGCAAAACTTTGACGGTTCGACTTGTGCGTCAAACTAGATTTGGTTCGATTGAAGTCTGCTAACTATTCGGTCTTGATTCGAATGCAAATAATCAGCCAGAGCTGCCAATCAAACAGAATATTGTGTAAATAATTGATTTAACTCATTTTCTTGACTTTTGGGAGAGCACAATGAGAGATTTTCGTATATTCGAATCGCTTTGTGAACCTATTGCGTCATTTGCAGTGCATATTCGTGAAGATTTTTGTCAGACTTTTTGATATCATTGGAAAATCTGTTTACACGTCCATGGCCTTTGAATGCCAGCAAGGGTTCAGGGCGATTCCTATACGAAGGTGCTAATTAAATTTCATTGAATTTTCCCTTCAAAGGGGGCACAGATAGCCAGATTGTGCACTGCGTCCAAAAGATTGAGGCAATAAAGCTAGCTGGAGCACATGCGAGAACAAATATTTGTTAATTAAAAGGTAGAAACATGGCGCACACCTGTCGGCGCTCTTTTGAGGTCCCCAGATAAGCGTTAAAAATTCAAGTAGTTGGGCCCAGAGCCTACGAATATTTATAGAACCCCCCAAAAACTGCGCTCCCAGCCAATCTGGGTTTATGATATTACTAATTACGCGAAACTGAATGTTTCAATTAGCTGGCGAGAACTAAAATTAAGCACAAACAGAGCCGTAAAGCGTCACGGCTCGTGGGGGCATTCAAAATAAATTTTTATATAGGGCCTGGAAACGTGATATGATATGTTGACAGACATATAGACGCTGTCTAAAAATAATGCAATAGGTTAAATATGAGCTTTATGTCTGCCATAACATATGTTAATTAGCAAACTCCCCAATGTTTGCTTTATTTCGAGTCAGTGTCCTGCCGATTGTCAAGTGGGATTTGATTTCCTGCCGAAGGGCTTCTTTTTTATCCACCAAATGATTGCCTAAGAAATTTGCTGCGAATAATCTTTTGCCGATTTCGTTCGCTTTTGTACGGATTTGAAAATCAATCAAACACGCGTCCGCGCCTCAGAGCGTGACTGTCCAATTCGCGACATGCCAAATGTCTGGAATCGATGCTATTTATCTTTATCATTCGCCAACTGAACGGGCAGCTTGATGGCTTCATTACGCAGTCACTGAATCTCTCATTTTCCGTTTCAGACTATCCACAAGATGCACAAACGCATCCGCAGCTAATTAGATGTGAGACTGCAGAAATAACCAGGATATTTGCTGAGGAAATGAGCCAACGATTATGTACTTAGGATCGGTTGACGGAAACGACAAAGAGCCATGGAAAAGCACACAAGCCAGTACCCGAAGGAGTCCCCTTGGCGGACAAAGCGGGGCCTGAAGTGTCTGACATTCGAGTTCCAATTCCGTCTGCTCCTCCATCATCTGATGCTATCATCGCTGTGCGGGCCACATTGCGTATACGCCACGAGTGCCGTCGGCGAGGCGCTGAGCGCAAGCAACTGTCACGACATCCACCACGGATTCGATGTCTACCCCAATCCCAACCCCAGCCCCAATCTCACGGCGGTGACGCTGGGTCAATCGACGGACACGCCCTCGGTGACCCTGACTTTGCCGCCCTCCGGCTGGAAGTGTTGCTGTTGGAATGCAAGTAATCAAGTAAGTGTCTGATAGATGTACACTTTCAACTTAATTCTATATGTTTAGCGGCGAGGGACAGCAACAGATTGGCCTCCAGTCAGGGTCAGTTTTGTCAGGACTTCAAGGGGAGTAGCTTATTAGAGAAACTAGGAGGGACTTCAAGAATGCATGCATAACTTAATTATTTCTAGGAACAGAAGTATTTCGAGTAATTAAAACGTATACATCGTTTTCCACAGAACACTGAAGCAGAGCACACAACCATTCCATTTCTTAGAACTTTTCCTCCCCTGAGTGCAGCCGAGTTTGTAGATATAATACAGGTAGACTTTACACCAAAAAAAGAATTGTGTATCATCACTAGTTAATTGAAGTTCTACTGGTGTTGCAATACCATTTCTTAGAAGTTTTTCTATCCCAGGACTACTAAATTGCTATAGGATGTAGTTCCCAGGAAATCTAATCTATATCTGACCAACCAAATGCGCACATATAGTTTATAACGCGCATAGATTTTAGCTTGTTAAACTTTACAACTACCTAAACTAAACCAACTTGATTTACAATTCACAAAAAAAGTAAATAAATATATATGTGGGTGCCAAAGTGTTATTTTATTTTTATACTACAGAAGTTCTGAGTTCTCAACTGCGCACATTTATTAAAAACTCCGTTGTCCTAGGCATGGTTACATTTTACAACCACCTGAACTCCTCCCACCTGTATCTAAACCCGCAGAAATAGTTTTATTTATGTACTACCATATACCATATAGTTCTGATCCGGCAGCTGCGTGCATTTATTAGAAATAGCATGGAGCTGCGTGGATTCTAGCTTGTTACATTTTACAGCTACCGGAAGCCCACCCACCTATGATATTAAAAACCCAATCTCTTTGCAGGCGGAGGAGGTGGAATGCCGTTGCGAGGGCGACGGACTTAACCGCGTACCGCAAACGCTGAAGCTGCCCATCCAGCGACTAACTATTGCGTCGGCGGGGCTGCCACGCCTACGCTACACCGGTCTGAAGGTCTACGGACCCACATTGCTGGATGTGTGAGTTAGATAGTGGATATATCCTTCGCCACCATATGTGCTCATTAATTGTCCTTTGCCGCGACAGGGCCTTCACCGACTGCCTGCAACTGGAACTGATACAGGATGGGGCTTTCGCTAATTTAACGCTGTTGCGCACAATGTAAGGCCTGATTATAAGTGGTGGCTTCGGCCGCAAAAGCACTTTATTGTTAGTTCCCATATAAATATACTTACAGCTACATCACTAATGCACCCAAGCTGACCTTTCTCTCTAAGGACGTATTCTTTGGCATTTCGGGCACTGTGGAAATTATGTAAGCCATTTGCAATTACCAAATCTCGGATAGGGATACCATATGTGACAGATAAAGGGGTACCAAGTCAATAAGCACGCACAGCTGTGTGATTTCATTTGGGCAGGAAGATGGGGTTTATGTTGTGTCATCGGTAAATATAGAATTTAATGCCCACTTTTCCGGGTCAGCAGCTGATTTGTTTTGAAGTAGACTTTTTGTGTGTTTGCTGTGTGGGTTCATATCCACATTTGAAGCTGTGGCTCAAACTAAATTTAGGCTGCAGCAAACAAATAATAAACAGTTAGTATTTTAATAAACAGTGGTTGAAATAAAACCAAAGGAAAGAATATTTTTCATTTCCCTTATTTGCATTGTGCGTGTATTAATTTCCATTTCAACAAAACAAAAAAGAAAAGAATAACACATTTTAGGTGAAATGTACTCCGGAAACTTTTTGTACTTGTTATAAATTTACATCCAGCATGTTTTACAACATAATGTTGGAGTAATCCTGTAGTGCAAAGCTGGGGGAGCAGCGAGAGTGCTTATAAAGTGTGTGGACGCGTAGGAGTGTAATATAATAATGCATTTTATTCCGACAGACGCATCATAAACAGCGGGCTTACCAGAGTTCCCGACCTGAGCCACCTTCCACCTCATAATATTTTGCAAATGATGTGAGTGCAACAATAAATTAGCCAAATTATCTTTATAATTTACATAATTATTCCCTCTTTTCCCTCAGAGATCTCGATAATAATCAAATTACTCGAATAGATACTAAATCCATAAAAGTAAAGACTGCCCAATTGTACGTATAATTGTTAAACCAAACAAAATGTAATCTCTTAAGAACCCCAATCTTTATAGAATTTTGGCAAACAATGACATAAGCTATGTCGATGACTCCGCTTTCTTTGGCTCCAAGATAGCCAAATTGTGAGTATTTGGTCAATTTAGCAATAATAATAACTGGAGGACAAAGTAATGAAGAAATATGATTTTTTTCAGGTCGCTGAATGACAACCTCAGGCTTGAACATATGCATCCAAATGCTTTCGATGGCATAGATATAACTGAACTGTGAGTCTTGGGAAACATATCACTCATAGAATATGATTTTTATTATTTATTATCATTCTAGCGATCTCTCCAGCACTTCGTTAGTTGCCATGCCATCAGTGGGACTTCAGAACATCGAAGCATTGTACATTCAGAATACCCACACTCTTAAAACCATTCCTTCTATCTACAATTTTCGGGTGAGTATCGTACCTACTTCAAGTTAGAGTTGTATTCTAAAATTCTGGCTTATTATATTTTGTAGAATCTGCAGCGGGCCTACCTCACGCACTCCTTTCATTGCTGCGCCTTTCAGTTCCCATCTCGCCACGATCCCCAGCGACATGCCCAGCGAATGCTGGAGATTGAAAAGTGGCGAAAGCAATGCAAAAGTGAATCGGTCTCACGACAGGAAAGATCCACTTTGGATAATGCCTATACCATGCCGGAAGATTTCGGTACTTTTGAGAGCACCGATGAATCATCTACAGACTTAGTACCCATCACATTCGCATCCTTTGATTACATGGCCGATGATTCGCTGAACAAGGGCACATTTCACGAGAAGATTACCCTTAATCCGGAGGACGACATGTCTGCCGAACTATGCGGCAATTTCACATTCAGGTGAGAAGCCACCTACTTGCAAATAAGTACTTGAGGGCTGTTCTAAAGAGCTCACTTATTGCAGAAAGCCCAATATAGAGTGTTATCCCATGCCCAATGATCTTAACCCCTGTGAGGATGTCATGGGCTACCAATGGCTTCGCATTTCCGTTTGGATTGTGGTTGCTCTGGCCGTGGTTGGCAATGTGGCTGTGCTGACAGTAATTCTATCGATTAGGTGAGTCATTCAATTGAAAAGTCAGCACTTGGAAAAATACTTTTTGATTGCAAATATTATTTCTATACATCTTCAGAAGAATGTTTAAATCATCGAAAGACATTTGTACATATTTTTAAAAACTGATTTTGAAATATTCTCATTTTTTCAAGTGCTTATAATCCTCTTGCATTCCAGACCCGAATCGACGCCAGTGCCACGATTTCTCATGTGCCATCTCGCTTTCGCCGACTTGTGCTTGGGAGTCTATCTGCTGTTGGTGGCCTCCATCGATGCCCATTCCATGGGGGAGTACTTTAACTACGCCTACGATTGGCAGTACGGTGCGTGACCCCTTTCTTGCTTTTCATGCATGGATTTACCTTTGATTTTCGATTTCCTCTTCGGTTTTCGCAGGGCTCGGCTGTAAAGCAGCCGGCTTTCTCACCGTATTTGCCAGCCATTTGTCGGTATTCACGTTGACCGTGATTACCATCGAGCGCTGGCTTGCCATCACCCAGGCCATGTACCTGAACCATCGCATCAAGTTGCGTCCTGCAGCGCTCATCATGCTGGGCGGCTGGATTTACTCCATGTTTATGTCCTCGTTGCCCCTGTTTGGTATTAGTAATTACTCGTCGACGAGGTGAGCAAGTAAATGGGTCATCTGGCACCCCTGAACTAACGCCTTGGTCATTGCAGCATCTGCCTTCCGATGGAAAACCGCGATGTATACGACACTGTGTATCTGATTGCCATCATGGTCTGCAATGGCGTGGCCTTCTCCATCATTGCCGTGTGCTATGCCCAGATCTATCTGTCCCTGGGTCGCGAAACGCGGCAGGCGCACCATAACAGTCCGGGGGAACTCAGCGTGGCCAAGAAGATGGCCCTTCTGGTGGGTAGATCTAGTTATAAGAATATTAAGTCCCAGATCAAGAAGAATAACCTATGTATTTCAAACTCCTTTCAGGTCTTTACAAACTTTGCCTGCTGGTCTCCCATTGCCTTTTTTGGACTTACGGCCCTTGCTGGTTACCCACTGATCAATGTGACCAAGTCAAAAATATTGCTAGTATTCTTCTATCCATTGAACTCCTGTGCGGATCCCTACCTATATGCCATATTGACGTCTCAGTATCGCCAGGATCTGTTCACCTTGTTGTCAAAGTATGTAATACAACCATGAATGTGTGTTCCCAATTGTAAACCCTTATCCTTTCAGACTCGGTCTGTGTCGGCAGAGCGCCTTAAAGTACAAGGATAGCCTCTCGGGACATGCCACCACTAGATTCACCATCCACGGATCTATTCAGAGGCACAGCTCCCTCACCTGCAAAATGCAGACGGTAATGGGCACAGAGACCCAGAAAATGCTGAAGAAGAGCGAGGAATATGTTTGAACCGAACCTTGGGTATTGTGAATACAACTCTTCCCACCCCGTTGTGATATATATTATACATATTTTGTTATAGAACGCTCTCTCTTTGTTCCGATATCTGTTCCAGTATTGTTAGCATCCCATGATTAATGATATTTTAAAAGCATAAGTTTGTTTTATGTCTTCTTGTCTTACTTAAGTTCTTTAGTCTATCCATACAGTTGTACCTAATTATAAAGTATTGCTAATAGAAAAGAGCTTATCCCAGTCAAAGTATATATAAATGTGAATATAAGTGTTTTTTCTTGATATGAATGTATTTGGATGTGTATAGAAATTAAGTTATGAATGTTTTAATTGTATAGATAACAAAATTTTAAATGCATAAAATGTATTTTCCTGTTTTGTCTAAGCAGAGTATATTACAAACCAATTTTTGAAATCATGATATTGATGTATATAAATGTTAATAAATAAAGGAAGTGTAATTTCTGTGAAAAGTTATAGTTCTTGGTAAAGCCTTGTTCAAATTGTTTAAAATAATTGGTTCTTCGATTAAACATTCAGAAATAATAATTTTTTCTGTGGATTATAATTTTATTTACCGAATGTTCAAATCTATAAAAATTAACGGAGTACTCAAGCAGATTTTACGAATAAAATCTGAATGATGAGTAAAAAAAATGTTTCGAAATGGTGCTGATAGATGATAGGTTTTCTGTTTGACCGTAAAACAAAAAACTTTTCAATATTTTCACTTGAATTTTTGAAAAAAGGCGCCACATTTTACATACATCTTACAAGCGATTCTACAGCGTCTATTTTGGCGCCATCTATCTCTGGTATAATTTCATTCGAAACACTGAAAATGCCTTATTGTTCAAGCGTAAAGTTCGAGAACTTGTTTTTCATCCCTGGCAGGACAGCTGACTTCAGGAAGGACCAAACAAGTAACGGGAAAATGACGCGTCCTGTGATATTCCTGGCAATCTGTTCAATAGTTTTGTTTAAACTTGCCAATGGCTACAAGGAGATTCACGGACTGAATGGAAAGCTTTTTCCTAAAGCAGCGACTTTTAACTTCCCGGAGTATGCTATAAGGAAACTAGCAAGAATGTGAGTCCACGAATATATTGATTTTTCTTGTCCACTAATTCCTTTTTAAATCGCCCAACCAAAAACAGGAAATAACCTACCATGAACTGGAGGTGACTTGTGACCAGCACGCCCAGTGCATAAACCTCAGTCCCGTGGGCGTGGCCAAGATCAACTGCATCCGACAGTGTATTTCGCCATCCTGCTACCAGGACATCTACGCCTTCAACGAGCTGGAGGAGGGCGAAATCGATGCCCGGCTAAATTCGTTTAAGGGCTGTGTTATCCAGCGCATGTAGCAGCGACCCCAGTTGTTCAAGGAGTACTTTATCTTCAAGTGGCTGGAGCTACCCGGAATCACCTATTAAATTTAGATCATGGTCTGTGCCGAGGACTCGCATTTAAAGGATAGAAATATCGCAGGCTGATTGTGAGGATAAACGCTCTTCAACTGAATTTCAGCTGAATTGTATGGACTTTCTGTTGTAATTTTGTAGAGTGATATTCCTGTATTATCCCAAAAATAAGATTAACTTTTGTATCGTCTATGCGATCAAAAGACTGCCTTTAATTCCAAAGCCAAATTAAGAAATAAACTTTTTCACTGAAATCAAAGACTTACAAATCATTGGATTTTGGCTCTGGGACTTGGAAGTTTTGACCATATAACTGATACAAAATTGATAAGATGTTATATGATGAAATTACGTATGATTTCATTTGCATGTTCAAAGGAGACAAATCCAAACATACATTTCCAGATATATTTTACATTATTTAATGCCAATATTAAATTACTTGTAAATAGCAAGTTGATACTGAAAACTTTTTTTTTCTTTGTACTAAATCTTTCATAAGTTGTCTAAGCATCATCTGAAGAAAATTGTGTTATCCCATCATATTTTTAACCTTAATTTGCGATGAATCAAAATGGTCAAACATGTGATTTATTTATTTATTTATGGGAACAATCTATTGTTTCAGTTGTGATAGGTCTAACATTTAAATCCATATTTCAACCATCAATAAGTGCTTCTCCTACTCAGTCACCCCAACTTTACCCCATCTGAATGTTCGATTGGTAAGAATATATTCAATTGCATGTAAAATGTTTATAGTTTGAGTGAAGCAGGGAAATTGTAGTGTTCAAACAGTTATGGCGGCAATTTGCGAAGGAAAATACAATTTAACTTTACGACTTTTGCGCCTATGACAACAATTGGCGTTGGCTCCCTTCGAATTCCACAGAAACCCTCCGATCCATCAAACCCATCCTGGTTTTCCTATAAGCATTCCTAGATCAATCAAGCCAAATCAAGCGTGTTGTATAAATAAACTACCCACCCACAACATCCATAACACCCACTACATTCACACACAAACACAGGCACGCATATTTGTGCTAGTGCGGCGTTTAAGTTTAGTTCGGTAATTAAAAGCCAAATGCTCATAAAACGAAAATTTATTAGCATTGTCTAAGCGAGTGTGTGTTTGTTGCGAGCACACAAACTATGTCACTTGCCTGTTTTGTGCGTGGGTAATACAATTGCACATGGAAGGGGCGTGGCATGGGCGGCATGGGGGGGGGGGAGGTGCTGTAAAGGGGCGGCTACATGTGGGTGTTGAAATCCCTATGGATTTTTAATGTGCTTAATTTGAGTGACAGCTCCAAAATGGGCACGATCGATTTCTGTGTGCTAACACGCCCTCCAGCCCCGCCCCCTTGCAAGTGAATGTCAATGTCCACACACACACCCACACGGAGAGAAATTGACGTCTACCCTATTGGGTTATGTTTCCATATCAAAATAAACGATTATAAAAACAATTTCTCCTTTTACCACAACCAACATTTTAAAGGGATTTTTGGAATATAATAGGTAATGCATACTTCTGCAACTTTTAAAGTGATTTTAATCGTTTATAACTTTTTTCGGCATCCTGATTTATTATATTAAAATTAATTACAATTTTGATTTAATACTTAACAAAATATACCTGTGAAGGAAGGTATTTTGATTATCAAGTTTATAAAATGATAAGAAACACAAGGTCACAATAGTTTTAAGGGATATGCTTAAAATGAATTTATTATATTATAATAGTCATAATCATAATAATAATACTTTATAAAGCAATTAGTTAAAATGATTGGTTTTTTATCAGACAGCTCTAAAATCTGTTATTCAAGAACCTGATATCGTTTTTATATTTAATATTTACATTGCAGATCTTCTTGGACGAATTTAAGAAGTATTAAAATTTTAATTTATGTTTGATATAAGACTTTCCTCACCAAATAAGCGATATATCTTTCCTGTGTACTCACAAATTGAGACGACAATATGGAACTGATAATGTTAATTTCCTTCCCAGCTCTCGTTGTCCCTATCAATTACAACAAAATCCATTTATTACCATCCGCATGTATGCAAAGCATTTCATGACAATGTTCCGAACCCCTCGATAAACCCAAAAAATCCAGTACCCACCAAGTTCAGTTCATCTCAGCTAATTTCTGGCTGTTAATTGGTCGGGTGTCGCGCAGTCTTTAGAATGGATATGAATCCTCCCGGCAAGCACAAAGTAAATTCATAATTAATTCGTTTGCAAAGAGTGATAAAGAAAGAGAAGCGAAATTAACGCCCAACGCCTTGTACAGTGAGCCCTCTGTGTACACAAACAGTAAACAGCAAACAGCGTCGCACGCACACACACACCCAAACCGAAAGCCGGAGCGTTTGGCAAATTAGCCAAATGCGTTATTTGGCCCACAAGCATTTCAGTTCAGTTCAGTTTCAGTCGCTCACGGAACGTCCTGGCGTTTGGCCGCAAACCAGAAAAAGACCAAAAGTTAGAATCAAGAGCAAAGAGCCAGATGTTCGCGTTTCGGTGTAAAATTTGAATATAAAATCAACATTTTTAATTAAATGTGTGTGGGAAAAGTGCGTAATTTGTATATAATATAGATATTTCAATGATCTTTGGTAACATCTGGCCGCAATCAACTGATAAATTTATCAATTACCTAGCTGCTATCTGGCCAAAAGCCAAGCTAACGAGGTTGTCGCGCTTTTGTGTTTGTGTGCAACAAGTCTGTGATCTGACATTGGCCTGTCCCGGCGAACTAATCAAATAAATACGCCGGTTAATTGGGAAATGCATATTAATGAGACTCTGGCAGTATCTTCGCCCACGCCCCATCAGACCTCCCATGTACCCATCAACCCATCCAAACCCATTGAACCCATCCAACCATCCACCCACCATATACATATACCACCCATCCTCCCATCATCAATCCGGCCTGGCAGCTGTTACCTCTGCGTAATTCACCTTTCATTCTCTTTTTTTATGGCACATTACTTTGGCCCCGTTGTCTGGTGGCACCGCCAAAGTCTGATGAATCATAGAGAGTCGTGCGGAAATCTAATATACCCAATTGCGTTTATGCTTGCACTTAATCCGCGGGCTCAGCACTTCGATTAGTCAGTTTCGGTCGCCCCGCTCATCTAAATCGTTTTTAATTTTCTATCAGAATTTTCGAAATATTTCCCAAACAAATCCGCCAAATGTGTGTGTGCCGTGATAAAACAATAGCAACAAAATAAATAAAGAAAATATGAAAGAGTGGCTAGTTTTGTAGAACGAACGGGATACCCTTGTAGATCCATTTCACTACATAGTATATGGTTTAGGAAAGACATATCTTTTAAATCATGGTAAAAGGTTTTTAAACCTACCCCTTACAGAAAATTTAATGTTGAAACTCAACAAAATCTAACCAAACATGATTAGTTGAAATGATTACATATTTAAATAAATTTGTTAGCGAATTCTTGAGTCGAAGTGTAGGAAAAGATACATCCAACTACAGTTTGTTCAATAGGAAAGGAAGTTAAGACTAGTTTCAGTTTCTGATTTGAATAATAATAGAAAAACGCATAAAAGATCACAAACAAAGGATATACAAATACCTTCTTCTTAGGTTTGGGAAGCATAAATTATAAAGAAGATAACCCTTTTGGTGAACCAAAATTTCACCCATTTATCTGTTATTATAACACCCCCTTTCAGGGTATAACAAATAATAAATCCGAAAAGTATGAGCCGAAAGAAATAAAAAATGTAAAGCATTGAAAGAATTTTTGCCTTGCCGACATTTGTGTACTTTAATCGACAACACAAAAGAAGAACAACAAAAAAAGCTGAGAAAAAGTATCGCGCATACGCTACGTTGACTATTCCGCTCCGCATAGAGCGTTGGATGCTGGGGGAGATTGGGTGGATAGCAGAGGAGGTGGGGTGTTCTAGATGGGGAAAGGGGGAGCAGCATCGTCGGCTTCTCAGGTTGGACGTTCCGACAACCGACAGCCAACTGTCAGTTTGTAATCAACGCGTGCCAACAGCAGCAGCGGCGGCTGTGCGTGTGCATAAGAAAGTTTTCGGGGCGTCCCCCAACAACCTACCGCCTATCCACCCATCCACTTAACGACCTATCCACCTACCCACCCTTTGACCTAGCCACCCTGTGATCCTGATCGATTCCGTGACCCATAACCCATTGATGGGTAACAAATGGCAACATTACATCGCCGACGAAACCCATTGTGCAAAGCCGGAGACTAATCACTTAACTATTTATAAAGCAACGCACATGCAAGTGTACACGGAAAACAATGTGAATTTGACTAAAGATCAATTACAAGTTGTTCGTTTTGAAATGGAACCAATAGTGGAATATCAACTGAAAATAAAAACCAAGTCTTACAGAAAAGACTTTTAAATAAAAGTAGCATAAACATAAAGGAAACCTAATCATGAAGAAATATGTATGTTACCTAAATTATTAGGAACTGTTTTAAAAAAGTTTTAAATGACATTTTTAGACGAACATAAAAAAAAAGTATAAAAACAAAACACAAGTTAAGAGATTTTCAAGAAGCCCATAAAAAAAAACATCGTTAGGGCTGTGAAATATGTTTTTATGCGTTATTTCCAACCGCAATATAAAAATTATTTTATGGGATGTCTAAATTAATAAACAGTTTTCATTAAGTGTTAATCCAATGAATTAGCATAGGGTTTGGATATATTTCTAAAATTAATTGCATCGTAAAAGACGATAATCGTTTATTGTTGAGTGGGTCATCAGAATAAATTTTTTTGTTTAGATTAATAAGATTATGTTTTAAAAGTAATTTAATTCTTTTAATACTTTTTGCTTAGATCAATAACATGAGTAGATACAATTCTTTAATCAGTATAATATAAATAGACTAATATCTAATGTGATTACCATTTTTCACTGTGCTTCGTGAGAACTACTCGAATTCAAGAGATGCAGTTTTGAGTACTCGTACTCTCGGTGCCCGGAATGTGTGCTCAATCTGTTTGTCTTACGGGTGTGGACGAGCAGACTTCAGATGGGGGAGCCGGCGACTGTAGACTGTAGACTGGCTGTAGTGTCATCCGATCGAAGGTCGCTCAGCACCGAGATTCCGAATCCGATCCGATTCCCATTTGGATGCCGATTCTTCAGCCGTAGGAATTCCTCTGGGTGAACATGTGCCTGATTTATTTGTTGCCAGTCTTTCGAGCGATATAAACAGAGCAATACGAAAACAGACGAATATAAGTTTTTCGGCCGGCTGGTCTGAAATTGAAATTGAATTGTAAATGGCAATATTAATTGGAAATCATTTAAAATTTTTTCTGTTGTTTTGTTCGGTCTATGCATGTTTGGCGGCATAATTTATGGGCGCTAATTACTTTCGCCCCGTTGTATTTCGTGTGCTGTCCAAGGCCAATTACGCTTACTTATTGCAATTTATGTGGCCACAGTCCGGCTGTAATTGGAAATTGTGTAAGGTCGTCGCAGGCAATTCCATTATTTGTATGCAGTTCTGGTCGCCAGTCTGCTCTTTCTGGTTTTTCTAATGATTGGGTCTGGCTGGGAAGGGGACCTAGCCCAGTTTGATGAAGTGCATCTAACCCAACCTTCTCTCGCCCACGCAGAATCAATTTGTCGCATGTCGAAAGCGGTTCGAATAGGGTCCACCCTTAGAGCCTAGAGCCTGAGTTAACCGAAGACCATGCTGCTGTACTCCAAGTTCCTATCGACAGCTTTGACGGTGGCCAGTGGAAACAGCTCCACCGATGGCACTGTGCTGCTCATCCAACCACAGCGGCTCCAGCTACTGGAGAAGCCATCTCAACTGGAGCCAAGGTGGGTGGTGTGCCCTCGATGAACTCCTACCTGGTCAGCATGGCGTGGCCCAAATCCCTGGCGGTGGCCGTCTTCCTGGTCATCATCCTGGTCACCGTTGTGGGCAACACACTCGTCATCCTCGCCGTTATGACCACACGCCGCCTGCGCACCGTCACCAACTGTTTCGTGATGAACCTGGCCATCACCGATTGGCTCGTGGGCACCTGTGTGATGCCTCCCTCGGTGGTTCTCTACATAACAGGTGAGAATGATGGTGGTGGATGAGGTGGGCCCTGCCCAGTGACTGCTGAAGATTTATGGCTCTGTGGGGGCATTACACTTCCCAAAGGCAAAAGAAATCGAGGTGAGTGTTTACTATACGGACCTCTCCGCGTTTGCAAAGTTCCTATAGTAAACATTTACCCAAATCGACGGGGAGCACATTTGGTCGATACCGATTCAATATAAAACCATAAACCATAAAAAAAATCATACAATTTCACTTTGCAAAAATATACAATTTTTTATTTGCAAACATCTTAAGAGTGCTGGAAGATTTTTATCGTTTTCCCTAGAAAGGCTTTGATAATTTTTTTCTAAAAATAGAACAATTTCATGGTCAAGATTTCTTTTTATTTACCAAAAAATATTAATCTGAGACCCTTTAATGGTATTTTCTTTTTAAAGTGTGGTTTTAAGAAGAAATGAATCGCCTATATTTCCTAAGTATACTTTCACATGGCTTCATAAAATATATTACCGTGGAGTTAAGTTAAAGAACTCAGCAAAAGTTTCTTTCCATTAATTGATTGTTTCGTTGGCCATTAAAGCCGAAATGAGCATAAATCAAGTGAAAGCTGTTAAAAAGACCATCTCCGAAAACAGTCCTGACAGATTAAAAACCACACTCTAAAAAAAACACCCTGTATTATTGTATTATTTTGTAAAATTATCAATTTCTTTAAAAAGTAATAATCATACCTTTTTAAAAAAACTGTCTTAGCAAAACTTTTAAATCTCCGTGCTGACAGATTGAAACCAACCTCTAAAAGCACCTGTATTTATATATTATTTGTGAAAGTTTTTAATTGCTTATTAATTTAAAAATATAAGTCACGTCAAAAAATATACAAATAATATGCAATAAAACAAGTAATCCTCTTCAGAGAAACCATTTTAAAGCCTCTCCCTCAGTCAATCGAGGATCTCGACCACTAAGCTCCTCCATTATAACTTTACCCATCGGAGAAACAATTCGGATGATATAACTTGAACAAAGTGCCAGTGTAATGCCGCCTTAATCCCGACCAGCTGAACAAATATTTATTCCCTGCAGGCACTTGGCGCTTCGGCTGGATACTGTGCGACATTTGGATCTCGCTGGACATCCTGCTCTGCACCGGCTCCATCCTCAGCCTGTGCGCCATCAGTCTGGACAGGTAAGAGTTGGCCAACTAATTTCTTAATTTGCCGTTGATGTCATAGCTATGGCCAGTGGGTCCTGAGTCCTTTAGACAAAGGTGTAAAAACAGTGCAAAATAATTTATTTGTTGACGTTTTTATTGCTTCATGACCGTTGTCGTGGCCATTGCCATTGCATACCCTTTGAGTGTCGGACGTTACAATGGCAAGGATTGGGTTGGGCCTTGGACTCCCATTTCCCATTTCCCTTTAGCCAAAGCCCACTGCTTTTGTTGGAAGTTTCAATTACATTTTAATGGCATTTCCAAGTTTTGTGTTGTGGCTCCGGCTCTGCGGCTCCGGCTGAGCTGATCCCCGGATCCCTGAACCTCATGCAGCTACACCTTCACCCAATGCGCCGTGTTTGCCTTTTGGCCCGGCCAGAAAGCCGCCTGCGGCTTTGCGAACAATATGTCCTGGCCTGGCTTTTGTTTTTTCCAGCATTTCTCCGGCCATTTCTGTTGCGTTTATTGGCCTGGCTTTATTTTGTTTTTATTTCACAGGTATCTTGCCGTCACACAACCCTTGACGTACTCCAAGAAGCGGCGCTCCAAGCGACTGGCCCTGCTCATGATACTCGTCGTGTGGATAACGGCCCTGTCAATCACGTGTCCACCCTATTTGGGCTGGTAAGTAGAGCTCCAGCTGCACGGAAACAAAGTTACCCTAAGACATGATCGATTGTCCACTCATTTGTTCAGAGAAAGCGTTTAATTTGAATTATGATACGATAGATATGAGGAAGAGGGGAGGAAAGGCATTTATTTCTTAATTTCTAAAGTTAAAAAAATATTTCTAAAATTATTTATATACTAGTTAAAATGGCAATATTAATGATATAATGAACTATAAGTTACCTTGATAATAATTAAAAATTCAAACATTATATTATTGGTAATAGTATTATTTTAAATGACAAAAATTCTCTCTAACAAAAAATTTAAATTAAATTTAAATTAAACTACCTGTGTGTATAACAAAACAAATGAAAATATTAATTCTCCAAAAATATTAATTTCCCTAAAAAATAATCTTATAAATGTTACTGTTATTCTTGTCTTATACAATTGTAACGAATTATAATTTAGCAATAATGAATTTCAGTTTCACCACTTAATTTAAAATATTTACTATTAAAGAGTCTGATTTTTTATTGTGTACCCCTTTCCTAGTAGTCAAACTTTTTTTTTCCGGAGGCGTGAAAAATTTTTCGTGGCTTTATTTCATTCATTTTCCATTTTGAGCTAATGGCTGTGTGGCTCCGTATAGATAATGTTTTACCAAAGGGTCTCGAAATACATACGTTTATTTATATTTGTGCCTTTGGCTGCGCCTAAAAAACATTACGTAATTGCGCGAGTTGTTGTTGCTGTTGTTCCTGTGGTTCTTGCAGCCATTACATTGAAGTTTTAATGAGTTGTTAATGACTTTGTTTGCTGCGGCGCATTTGCTTTGTTCTCACCTACACTTACGCTGGGTGAAAGCCGCACACTTGGTTGTTGCATACTTCCAGGCGCCCAAATTAACCAGCACTCACACACAGTCACACTCACTCACACAACCTCACAACCTCACACCCCTTCAGTCCACACACACACACCACAAAGTCAGCATGTCCTTAATGCCATTGGCCATGGCTTAGTTCGCCCCCCTCCCCTCCGGCCACCAAAAAACATGGCTTAAAGGGCACATTAGAACGGGCTGAGGCCGAATTACAGCCACAGCTGCAGGACATTGGAAAATTTTTGGAAAATTTGTGCTGGGGGAAAATCGCAATTATAACGAGCAGCATCTGCTGCAATTTGCCATATTTCAATTCTTTAAGCGGAATAGTTTAATAAAAAAGTTTGCAAATGCAGTGGTAAAAGTACTTGATGCACAAAATTCTATGCAAATTCTAATTTATCTCTCGTTTGTTTTATTTACGAATGAGTTTTTTCCAGTGAAAAACCAACCAAGTTTTGTTTGCTTACTAGCAAAAAGTTTTATGTTCAAATAAACACTCGTTTGAATATTTTAAATAGTTGGGAGAGCTGTTTAAAACTCAGTTTTAAACTAATATGTAGTATATAAACGTTGATTTATTTAAATTATTTTATAACTCAGAAGAGCTTATAACTTTTTAAATTTAAATATTTTAATAGCTTGGAAGAGCTGTTTAAACTTCAGAGTTTAAACTACTAATTAGTATAAGGGTTGATTTAATTCAAATATTTAAAACTCAGGAGAGCTGCTTTACCTGCAAATTAAATTTTGTGAATAACATCTACTAAATATTTAAGTGAAAAACTTTCTAAATAAAAGTTATTTTTAAATCCATTTTCCTAATCAAATATCTTCAGAACGTAGAATCTATTCCATAGGTATATTTATTTTGTTATGATAATTTGCTATCTCAGCTCATATAATTATCGTGACTCGATGCTTTAATGGTAACAGACATTTATGATCGTAAAGAGATAATTCATGTCTGCGACAATGGTATTACTACACCGGAAAATTCCATTGTGTGGTGACATTTTACGTATTTGTCAATAAAACTCCCAAAAAGCCCGACATTTCCTCTACAGTTGGTATAGGAAGTATTGCCCAAAACTGAATCAAGACCTTACATCGTTATCTTGAAATCGTTTCTAAGGTATATTGATTTACAGTCAGTTCCGATTTGCGTTGTCTGAATGACCATCACGGTGGGATGTGCATAAATAAAAGGCTTCCAGTAGGGACTTCGACTTTGGTTTCGGTTTTGGCTTAGGATTTGAATTTGAATTTCGCCCTGCTTAACTCAGCCAGTTGTCGTTCCCAAAGTCCCAGTTCCCCGAACCGCAGTCACAACCGCAAGAGCATCCAGTACATCCCACATACTACCATCCCACCAGCCCACAACCACAACCCACATCCTTCATCCCACATCCCAGAAACCACATGCAATTCGAACTGGAATTCAATTTGCCATTCACAGGTACGAGGCGGGCAGGCATCAGGCGGAGTTCGTGGACTGCCGCTACAACCAAAACAAGGGCTACGTGGTCTTCTCGGCAATGGGATCATTCTTTATCCCCCTGACGGTGATGCTGTACGTCTACGTTAAGATTGGTTATGTCCTCACGTCACGGCGACAGCGCATTGTGCGCGATGCGGTAAGCTCCATCGCAACTACTCCCCTGCTATTCTACTGCTACCACTACCATCCGTTGAAATGTCTCCCGAAATTTATCATGTCACACCATCTAACCAGCTAAACAACCACCTGACTAACTTGTCAAGCACTGGGGAAAAAGAAAAAAGAACAAAGTATACTTTAGTCGTGATTGCTTAACACTTCAAATGCAGATCTTCATTAAGTTGAGACTCTGGTCGCATTTTATTCCGGGTATCCCCCATGAATTTCAAGTACTTATCGCAGTGAACTGTGGGCTGATATATTAAGCGCAGAGCTTTGATAACATAGGGCTTACTAATGCAGGAAAGATAAAAGTACATGCTTGGATATAAGAAACAGTTGGGTTCTTTTCTTTGTTTTGTTTATAAAGTCGTTGTTGTTCTGTGAACTTAAAGTTTTCCATTGTCTTGAATACATTCAACCGGATTAGACTTTTAAAATCAAGTCTTATGTACTTTCGTAGTTTGTTCTTTATAGTAAGCTTTTAATAAAAAGTAAGTTTAAAGAAAGTAAGGCAACTAATTTGGGCTTTTCTTAAGGCAAACCATATCAAAAGTCACTAAAAGTATTATTCTTTGGTACTTGGTTATTAGGAAAGAACGTGTTCCTATCTTTTGTTTAATCAATCCACTTTTAAATAAAATGTAAACTGACTCAAATGATTCTTAAGAACCAAGTTCTAATTACTTACTGGTGTTCCTTCTGATTTCCACAAAACCCCAGTTTAAATTAAGCTTTCAGATTAAAAAGAAAATGGCAAAAAGTAGAACATGTAATTAAAGCAGTCCAAACCAATCTCGGGACTCTTTGTCCAGACATGCAATCTAAATTATTCCTGGCTTTTTTGTCAGTGCTTCGCTTACATTCGCTCACATTTCCCCCCATTATTATTTCCACCAGAACTCGGAGCGCACGGCAGACTACGATGTGGATGGGGACAACTTCATCTCGGAGTCGGAGCACTATCATTGCACGCCAACCAAGTGGCTGCCGAACAGGAAGTCCCGCTGGCGGTTCAACTCCCTGCACGACCCACCACCCGGCAGCACGAATACGTCCAAGGGGCAGCAGTCCTCCTCCGTCAAGTGTGCCAAGTGCTCCTCCAGTGGAACTGGAGTGGGTATTGGAGTGGCTGGTGGTGCTGGGACACCAGTGGTGGACAAAACGCTGACATTCAAGCACCAGCCCACCTTTTACGAACTGGTCGAGGTGTCGCGTCTCTCCTCGCTCATCCATTGCTCGGCAATTAGCTGCAAGTACGGAGGACCCTGCATGCACTCCACGCCCTCGGGGATGCACTACGTCGGCACGGAGGCCTCCTTTTCGGACACCTGCCTGGGTGCCGCCTCCGTAGCCTCCGCCGCCACCGCTCTGGAGGTCACCACCACCACCACCGAGCAACTGGAGACGGAGGTCAAACAGATGCCACACCATCACCATCATGGCTCCCAGAACCATCATCATCATCACAACCATCATCATCGCATGCCGATGCGAGTCTCGACCACGAAACGTGATAGCAAGACCGCCAAGACCCTGACAATTGTGATGGGCGGCCTAATTGCTTGCTGGCTGCCCTTCTTCGTCTATTATCTGCTGATACCCTTCCTGCCGCGACCCGCCGTCCTCGAGGACCTCATGTTCGGCTTCACCTGGATTGGCTGGGTCAACTGCGCCATCAACCCGTTCATCTACGCCTTCTACAATCCGGACTTCCGCACTGCCTTCTGGCGGCTCACCTGCCGGCCCATCTGCAAGCAGAAGCGTCCGCCCAACCACCTGGCCATGTTCCGTGGCTAGTTTGGGTATCCCGATGGAGATCCGGTTTCCAGGCTACCATTGCGGTTACGGAACACTTGAGAGTGTCATAGTCACTGGGTCGCACAATCGAAGCTCCGCTAGGTGGGAAAATATCTCAGGCAAACGCTTCACTTCTTGCTGGTTCATTAACTTCTTACTTTTAGCACCTTTAAAAAAAGTAGAAAACAGCTTAGGGCTAATCTGTGGGGTATCTATTTACAGGAGGTGTTCTATCTGACTTCTTAGGGCATTATGACACTCAAAAAATCCAACCATTTACTAGTCGAAAAATAAGTAAATGTCATATGGCCTCTCGTATCTAAGAGTATTAGTAATGAAAGTCTTATTTCACTATAAAGAAAAAGTACCAGTTTTGCTTATGGAAAGGAATTTTAAATTGTAGTATAAAGAGGAATATTAGTAACTCTAAAAAAATATACCTTAAAGTTATTGACATCCCCATTAATTCTTTTAAATGTGATTTTAATTTGTATCTAAAAGTAATTTTTAAAAAATCGAATTTTAACTAAAGTGAAATTGTTATAATGAATTAGAATGAATATGCATTCCTGTTTTAATGACAATGCTATTTCATTTCATTAGAATGTATTATGCCTGATGATAAACTATAATGATAATGAAATATGATGCTAAATATGAAATATCTAGTATAACTTCACATTTTATTTAAAAAAAACAAATAGCTAGGGAAGTACCATCGGAAACATGGTTTAAAGTAGTAGGTCAGTTCCTCCAACAGAATGAAATGAATGGTTTAAGCAACCTAAGCCAACCAAGTGACCTTTTAAGCAACTCTTGGCATATACCTCAGGAATCGAGCTTCTCAACTAGTATTCAAATTGCAGATCTAAGCTGTTTGCTACACTCTATCCGCTTTTGCCAAGGGCAATACCACTAAAACTAAGATACTTTCGGTAAATATTGATTTGAAGAAGATTGCCTTGGTAAGCCAGAAAGATGCTGCCTTTTGAAGCCTCTTTTAAAGGCCACTCCAAGGGCGGTGTCTTAAAGACTCAGTGGACTTGGCCGGAAGTGGAGATTCTTTGCTAGACCAGATCCCCCAATCCTATATATAGTATTTTCGAGTGTGTGCGTGAGCGTTGATTGTGCGAGGAACGAAACGAAACAAAAGACAAATTATAGTATTTGCGAGTCTTTGTTGCCTGACGGCAACTGTTGACCATCAGGATGAGTAGGATGATGATGATGATGGTGGGGATGGAGATGGTATGGGGATGGTGATGATGGGATGTCCTCATCCTTATGCCTTTGTTGTGCGCGTCTAGTTTGTGTGTAGAGTGTAGAGAGTAGTTTCAGCTGCCAACGACATATCTGGCGTATCCTTTGTTGGCCAGGTCCGGTCAAGCCCGGCCTAACCCCGCAGGCATGGTACACGGACACTGTGGCCAACCCATTTAATGTTTAAGCAATCGCAATCCCACGGCACACGGTGCTCTATGCTAGGTCTGCTCCACACACACACAATCTCCACACAAGCGAATGTTAAAGTGAAAGTGAAACTGTAACTAAAACTAGGCCGGATTTGAAGCACTTGGCACTTCAGCCTGCTGGGATTTTAAATGTCCTCTCTAGACCCAACCCCCTCTAGAAACCCCTTAGTATGTGTAAGCATTGTAGCCCAACTAATTTGTATAGTTGTATTATACATATATCATACTTGTAACCAACTATGTACATATGTACTTTATAAATGTTCACTTGGAATGGATCTCTGTAAAAGGACCTATCGGTTCTAGTAATAAACTTTAAGTTCAACATGAAGGCAGTTTTATTAAAGCAGGGAAAAATAAAAGGAAGGTAAGGTAAGGTGGGTAGTAGCTACGTAATATGCCAAAAATATAAAATATGCTCACAACTCACAGCGGTGGTTTCGTCATTCAGCTATAAATTGTCACACGAAAGTTTTATGGACAATTTTCCGAACACGTCTTTTCGTTCAAAATGAAGATAGTACGTGTGCTCTACAACACAAGGAAAGATTTGCCAAGTAAAAGCTTTATGCACATTAGGTTTGAATATTTATTTGGAAGTGTTTGTAATAGAATGTTGGGAATTTACCAATAAATATCTTATACCAAAAGATTTACCAATTCGGTGGTAGAAAATGTTTGTGGTAGGTACTTACAAAGTAATAATGAGGTTTTTATTTATGGGTCTTGGTTATGGTGAAATCTTTGATTTACTAAAAAATCTTTTTAAAGAATTATCAAGTAAAGTAGTTTTTACATATTTTAAAATATTAATAGAAGTATCTCTGATTTTGCTTCAGCAACTTAGAGATTTGCCAAATAATGTCATGTAAAACCACAGGCTATACACTTTTTTTTTTATTTGCAAGGATGTCTCAGACTATCCTTAAATTTGGTCTACAGTTTAAGGGGTTTTACCAAATAATTCTAAAAAGAAAATTAAAAAAGCTTGGCTTCTGTTCCCATTTATATCCTTCTAGTGATAAGTATCTTTAAGTATTTCAATGTCTAAACTGCAGTCCGTAGTTGGGTTGATAAAAGCATAGCGCAGCTCAAAGAGAAGTCTTAATTTATTGGACATGAGGGCGGGGATTACGGAGGAGTGTCGCACATAGCGCACTTTCCAGCGCAGCCTTGACTTCATTTTTTTGTGATTTATTATTGGAAGTGGTAACCCGGTGGCCGCCACTAAGTTGTTTACGGCCCAAAGGACGGAAGCAAAAGAAACGCTGAATCAGCCAGCCCCGGAATATGGCTTCGGGATACGGCTGTGACTGGGACTGTGACTCCGGTGCCAGCTGGGCCTGCGGTGGCGTTACATTAATTTAGCTGGAAATAAGGCGTGAAAAAATATGCGGTCATCATAATTACATATTGCCTGTACCAGGGTATACCGCCCACACTCACAATGCGAACCGCCCACACATGTGACTAATATAAAAGCTTGACAGGATGGGCAGGGTTCTGGGGCAGCAGCAGGAGCAGGGTTCCAAAGGGCCATCCACCCGCTCTCTAATGAATTGCAACACATTTCGCTGTCACATTTCACTTTCGAGTCGAGCTCAGCGGAAACGGCCTCCCTTAATGCCCCCTGTCAACGGCCTGAAAACTTTGAGCTCTGTACCTGCGTCCCGTAAATTTGGCTTTTTATAGCGAGTACTTGTGAAAAAAACAGGGTATCTTGTAATCCTGCATATAAAGGTAACGCGGGTTTTCCGTTCAGTAGGTAAAAATAATAAAATAAAAAAGGATATATGTAAGGATATTTCAAAAACTCCTCTTAAGATTTTATATTACCAATATTACCTTATTTATGGTTTATTCATATTTTAGCATTTTGGTGACTTTTATTACAGTATTTTAATTTTATTTTTTAAATATGTCTACATAAAAAATGTTGTTCCCTATTCTCAGATTTAGATATAACAAAATATTACAGAAAAATAACCACGATATACAACATTTTGAAAATGAGTTCATTATTTTTAAGTATATCCCAAAAATCCCTAAGATTAAATCAACCAATTATTCCCCCTGATTAAATGGTATATTGCATTCGAACCACTCAACTTTACCATTTTTTCTGGTTTCGCTGGGAGCCCTTGCCTTTTTGACGCTTTGTTGGCTGATATCGCATAATGTGTTAAATTAAATGGCCGCGGTTTCGGGTGAGAGCTGAAAAAGGGAAGAGTTGGATGCCATCCTGTCATCCTATTTTCAGCCGCCTGCTGACAGGGTGCTTACGTTAATGTTGTTTGTTGCCCAAGGTTTTCGGTTATATCATCAGCAGCATTTGTGGGTTATGAACACCAAAAAAGAAGAGGAACAAACATATACATCGATATTTTGGAGCATTTAACAAGTGCTCGGGACAGGCAAAAGTTTGCAACCTCTCATGACAAATGCCCCGCAAATGTTTTTCGAATGAACTTTGGTTTTATTTCGGCTTCTTTTGTTTGCATCGCCAAGTTCCTTTTTCTGGCCCAATGAGTCTTCTCAAGTGCCGCCCACTCTGCACTTTAGTTGGATGAATTTTCGGGCAACTTTGCCTGCCTGCTCAGCCGATCAATTAATGTTATCCAAGTTGGGCTCGGGCTCAATTAGAGTCTTAAAACTCCATTTAGAAGATGCTCAGATGGGAGATTCATCCCAAAACTCCCAGGGGAAGGATGTGGGTACATGGGTACTTGGCTTCTGGGCTTCTGGGTTTGAGTTTGCGATTGGGATGTGGCAGTAGCTACAATGAAATATTCATGACGTTATGGCGGGGTTAGCTCTCCGTATTTATGGTTATTTTCCGCACAAAACACAACTTTGCTCTCTAACCTGCAGCTTGGTGTATTTTCCTTCTTTTTTCCGGGGTTTTCCATCGAATTCGTCGACTGACTGGCTCCTGGTTAAATATAAATACACACAAGGAGTACCCACACATATAGGATGGGGGGAGTACCAAACGGAACAGCATATATCTGCAGTTGCGAATTCAATTTTGAGACTGATCAATAATTCACGTAACCCCCTCACTAACCATTGTTTCAGGCTCCGCTCTAGTCCCTTCACCATTCGGCACCTTAAAGTGGCGAGTCCTTAAATAGCAACAAAACAAAACAATCTCTTACTCTTTGGGGAACTTTTGTCTTTTTGCAAATTGTCTATTTATTTGTTCGGTTCCAAAAAATGCTGTTCGTACATACAACTATTAATATATATGCAGATTATGCGGATTATGTATATGATATCAACCGGAATGAAAGAGGGGATGCGATATGATATGAGGGCTGTGCGATGATGAGCTCCATCCGCCGTGTTTGCTTTTTTCGACGGGTTCGTCGGAATCGGAAGCCCTCTCACCCGGAGCATCTGTTTGACTTGTTAGGCCAGACATGTGAGAGCTAAAAATTCAGAAGGATTGAAGGTACTGACACCAGGGATGGGTTGGGGTCAGCATACAGTACACGCTGATGATGAGCACCTGACTTAATCCCTATGTCGTAGCATTGATTGCCATCCTATTGATTGCGCTTATGACTTCACTTCACACCACCGCCGGCAATGGATGGAGTTTACAAAATGTAGATTGCTTGGTACAACACGAAATTTAGACCTACTTTCTGGGTTAGCTAAGCTGTTGATGGCCTGAATAAATTATGCCTTAAATTATACTAGACGGTATTATACCTCATTCGCACATTCGCTTACAGTCACACACTCTGCACTTTTTTGTTTAAGACTAAAGGAAAACTCATGAAGTTCCAGCCGACTTCAACTATAAACTAAATCACAGTAACTGTTTTTAACTGGCATTCCGATAAAGCTGATTAAAGCTAATTCTCGACTTGATCCACCTAAAATATTCCACTGATTTCACTTCCTGTTCATGTAAATCAATCAGCCCGTATCTCTAATATACGGCTTATGGTTTATGGTACCCAGATATCATATATGACTGCACTAAATTTAAGTGAGATAGGACCGAGTTGCATCGTAAATGGCCAAAGGGAATGCGGAACTCACTCGGACAGGGTCGGTCGGGGTCACCACCACCGCAATACCACCGAAAAGGTGACCGTCCCACAAGCACGCGGCTGAATTTTAGAGTATGAGCAATGTGCGCAATTTCGGTGAGCCATATAAACAAGTTTTCTCATCCATCTAAACTGTCTGTGCCATTGGCCAACTCGGGCTGTCTTGGCGCCCCAGCAAAAAGCCAACATCCAAGGCAAATGTTGCCATTTTACAGGCGCCGCCCGCTGAGCGGAAAAGTCGCGCGGAAATTACTAAATCGATACGTGCTGCCGCGTATCAGATTTTCAACGTATTCCGCATGCAGAAATACCTTGAAACCACGGCCTGCAGTTGCATATATGTACAAGGTATGGCTTTCTTTTACAGTCCAACCTCCTTGAGCCGAACTTCATTAAGACAATTTTGTGTTGCAGTAAGTAAAGTCTCTGTCTCCATATATAAAGTTTTTCTGCTACCACATCTAATGGAAACATTTTTGATCTTTGGTTTAAAAACAAATGAGAATATAGAATGACCTAGAATAATTAAAAATAATACGATATTGTTATTCAAATAGTTTCCAAGCGAATGCCTAACTCAAGGATAGAAACCAGTGGAATAATTCCTGGTGGGCGACGGTCGTCTCTAAAGTGGCAAAATGATCCAGAATCGGAAGCAAACCCTGACGATGAAATAAATTATACGAGAAACTAGAGAACAATTACACTTGGCCTGGTGGTGCAATTAGGGACCACACCTTATGACGTCGCCTAAAGTTAATGAATAAGTTAATAATATGTTATGCGAGGGCAATTTGTTCAGGGCTTGTGTTGAGAGGGTTGTTGTTCTATTTTAGTCGTTATATGGGTGATGGGATATGGGGGCTCTATCGCCTGATGGACATGGTGTTAGTGGGGAACTGGGGCTTTTGGCCGGCGCTGAAGAACCTCTTGCAGGTGAGGCGCCAGAAGGCCGCCCGGAAGTCGACGCTGTAGAAGGCGTAGATGAAGGGATTGATGGCGCTGTTGAACCATCCCAGCCAGGTGAGGGCCTTGGCCAGCATTTGGCTGGCCTGGTGTTCGGCCAGAAATGGAGTGATCAGATAGTTGATGAAGAAGGGCAGCCAGCAGGCGATGAAGCCGCCCACAACAATACTCAGGGTCTGAGTGGTCTTGTTCTCCTTCTTCAGCGAGGTAATCCGATTGGACAGCGATTTGTTGGCATTGGTGGTTTGGTGACCAGCACCGCTGCTCGAAGTGGCGGTCACGCTCGCCTGGTGATGGTAATGAGGATGATGATGGTGATGGCTCCTCAATCGATCCTTCTCCCTGTCCCTGTCCCGCTCCCCATGCGAATGCCGAAAGCTGTGCGGTCGCGTTGGCTGGCTGAGAGAGTGGGCTTGGATCTGGCCCTGACTGGGGCCACCCGGCGGCTGGGATTGCCATTGGGCATCCAGGAGACTGCTGCCCGGCCCATGCCACTGGTCATTGTGGTAATGGTTGTCGAGGCGGTGGAAGTGCGCTTCAGCGAGTGAGGTCGTGTGAGTTCGTAGCAGCCATTCTTGGGACAGCCCAAAGTGGAGGCACCTCCTCCTCCACCTCCTCCACCGCCGGAGGAGGGCAGGGCCAGCAGGGATTGACAGTGGGTGCCGGGGCTGAGCCTGTGCCTCCAGTGGTGGTTATGGTTCCCCCCCTCCACCTCCTCCTCCTGGACAATTGTCGCTGTCGCTCAGCATCATGTCGTGCAGCTCCTTGGCTATCGTCTGGTTGGAGAAGGTCCTCGAGGTGGCCTGTCTCTGGCGCTGGCCCACCGAACTGTGCTGCTCCTGCTCCGACAGCTCGTTCTCCACGTCCGCCGCCGTGTAGCGCTTGAATTTCTAGACACGCAAAGTGCACAAGGCGGTTAAGTCAATGTGGATGATAAATAACTAAAGTGAAGTCAATGGGCGGTAAAAGCGGTGAAAGCGGTAAAAGCGGCCAAAGATGAAAGTGTGCAAACGGATGTCACGCGAGCCAAAGCCGAAGCTTTGAACCACATTTAAGTCATCATCTATTTAAGAAAATAGCTCCTTTAAGGCTTTATACATTTATGAATCTATCCATTTGCAGTGTTCAACAACTGCTTGATATGTTAATCTCTTTAAATTTAAAACAGCATTTTAGACCGGATTTAATGGCAAATATTGCTTAGTTTTAATGCGATGGAAGTGAATTTTAAGCCTATTTTAAAATGCACACCTGGCATATGTAAGTACAATAAACAGACATATATACTTGCCATTTTCGAAATGTTTAATGCTAACTGTTTAGTGAGGATTTCAAAGGGTTCTAAGGTTCGACTTAACGATTACCCTGGTTTTCATTTTAGGATATATATTTTTAAAGTGCAGAACATTGGTTCCTTAAGTCCTTTGAAACTTGCTTGATTTTTGACTGACTGATTTGATCAAATTTAAAAAATGATGGAAAGAACATCATAAAACGTATATAATTTCATTTCATAAGTTAAGGTTGCCACAAATTGGTAAATTATATATTCAAAAATTGATTAAGGGTCTTAAGGCCTTTAACCCTTGAATGTACCTTGTAGGCTTGCATTTATGTAGGCTTGCCCTTTGCTGTGTGTTATATCATCTTGTAACTAAGCCTTTAAACTGGTATTTAACTCTTGGGGGTTAGAAGCCCCTCTTAATGAAAGGGCAGTTGAAAACTCATTATATGAGCTACATGGTCTGCCAAAGTTGGAGTGAAAACTTGTTTTATAGCGGGCACTGAACCGGATAAACTGAATTCGGGCACACACTACACATAATGCCAGGGTATGGTATTTAAATCTGTGTAAGCTCCTGGCGTTTGGGAATTATGAAGCGAACGTGCCGTGCAGCTTGTGCCGTGGAGTGGCCTTTAAGCCGGAGTGGGTTGGAATAGAGATGACTTTGGGGGCTGGACTATGTTGCTGTTGTTGTTTTGCAGCTGGAGCTGCATCTGCATCTGCAGTGGTTTCCGTATTCCCCATTTCGTATTCCGTATTTGGTATTTGTGCACTTTGTTGGCTTTGGGGCGTGGGAATGTTTGCAGGATGGGTTTTCGGGGTTTGGGGCTGTTGTTTCTGGATGGCTGCGGAGCTTACCTTGTTGTGAACACTTATGTCGGTCATATTGTCGTGCCTGGATGCAATGACACAGGAAATTCTTGCATACACATAAATCATCACTGCCATGGGTATGAAGAAGGAGCCCATGGCCGAGAAGATGACGTAGCCCTCGTTTTGGTTGTACCGGCACTCCCGCAGGTCCCTTCGTCCCGGCTCGTACCTGGAAGGGAAATGGAAATGAGCAGGATACACTTAATGGGCCACGGAGACTACTTCTACGTCTGGTAATGCAGGAAGTTCTCAATTATTCCCCCCCCGCAGCGGGGTCACGGGTCACAAGGGTAGACAATTGCCACCTAATTATATTCAGTCAGTCTGCCAGGAGGCTTGAAATTTATTTTAATTAATTTACATACACCCAACAAAATTTGTGTGGCCTTGGAGCGAGTGAAAATTGCTATTGAATATTCTAAATGGGCCTACAAAATTATATTTGTTTAGGAAGGCACTTTACAGGGGTTATAATTATGTTTATCTGTTTATTTTAGATTAATATACATGATCTTCGTAAAACATACGTTATCTCATTATTATTATTTCAAGATGAAATGTTGGAAAACCTGTATATATTTTATATTTTTATTTATTTTGTTTTATTATATAGAGTAGTTTGGATAAGGGAACCCAATTTGATTTTCTACATCCTTATAAAGAGCTGATGTATGACTTTAAAGCGTTACATTGATAAAAAAGTATAACCAAATATTATTTTCTTTATTTATAAGGAGTTGTTAGGATAAGGAAGCCAACTTTAAATAGCCAAGCGCTATAATAGAGCACATATATTATATTAAATAAAGATTCTATTTATTTTTCTGGGTATTTCTTGGCCTTTATGCAAATGTGTATATGTACATTTAAATTCTCCGGGTGAACTTACCATCCCAGGATGGGCGGACAGGTGATGGCCAGGGCCAGCAGCCAGACAATTAGGATCATGATTAGGGCCAATCGTTTCGAGCGCCGTTTACGAGAGTACGTGAGCGGCCTGGTGACTGCCAAATATCTGTCGGATGGATGGGAATGCCAAGATTTACGATTCGGGGAATTAGATATAAATATATGTAATATACATAAAGGGCGGCGCTTCTCACCTGTCCACGCTGATGGCGCACAGGCTGAGAATCGAGGCCGTGCAGAGGAGCACGTCGAGGGAGATCCAAATGTCGCAGAGCACCCAGCCCAGTTGCCACGAGCCTGCAATCAAGATTCCAAATTAAAAACTTTCGCCAGCCGGAGCGAGGGACGTCAACTTAAAATTCCGGTCCAAAGTCAATTTGATTAGCAGCATTTTGTGCTGGGCTTTCAGCAAATGCCTCACCTAAGGCCAATTAAAGCGGCCAGCTCGGCAAAACAAATTTTTCGGCAATGTTTTTGGGTTCCGTGCACATAGTACCCGTTAGTGGTTTACTCCGTGACCGGCAGGACTCCCTTTTTGGAGCTCAACTCTTTGTGGCCACTTTGAGCCGTTTCCCCTTGTCTGCGGCCTGTCAACCGATTAATTTTTAAATCAACTGCCCCTCAATGGTCTCCGAGGTCTCCAAATGAAAACTTGTTTTTCGGACAGGCCAGGGAACAAGGAAAAGGAGCTAGGTTATTAGAAGGAGATTGCCTGTGGGCCAGCACACATTGCAGTGTTGGCCATTGTGCTGGCTCAGAGAAAATTGGAAGTTAAGTACGAAATTTGAAAATTTCCCAATTTCGTAATTGCCACAATGAGCTCTACAGTACGCAGATTTATTTTTAATTAAAATAATTCGTTGCTTTCCGCAAGGTTTTTCTTTCAAACTGAGGACTTTACTTCCAGATTCATTTTCATACTATCTTTAATTTGTTTCAATAAAAAAAATTAAACCCAAAACCTTACCGCTTTTTAGTACCTACCCCAACCTAAATTTACTTAAGCTTTAATGTAAACTATTAATCCTGGCCTTGGCTACATTACGACTAACTTTATAATGAATGCTTGCAACAAAAAAATATAAAAGAATGTGGGTCTCAGTAAATTGTTTACCTTGAGGAAACCTAAGGGCATGAGTAATTATGACTGAGTCTCAAAAAAATATGCACATAGAAAAACTTTTGGCAAAAGTCACGAACAAATTCTCATACTCAAAAGAAGCTGGTTGATCATAAATCCAAAATGATTAATCAATTACCTATTTTTGAATGCTTCTGCATCAAGCAACAAAGAGAAACTATCTTCCAAAGTGAATACATATTTCATTCCGTTTTCGGATTGTCAGTGGTGCGGATGATTATGACAAACTTTCGACATGCCGTTTGCCTTTAAAGAATTCCACAAAGTTTGGGCTCGGGAATGTTCCCTTTTTCGGCTTTTCGCCTATTTTTTTGCTGAGGAAATTGCACGGGGCAGAGGCGGACCAAAATGAAAGAAATTCTTTCAGTTCAAAGAATACAAATCCATAAGGCGAGAGAGATACATACCGCATATTCCACCTAGCAGCATTTACATAAATATGCGGGGCGTTTGCCCGCCCACTTTGCTGGCACACCTCCGCCAGTTCTGTTCGTGTTCCTAGTTGGGTTCGTGCTACTTTGTTAGGATGCACTTAGAACTCTGATTTATAGAACTTTGGAACTGAAAACATATTAAAAAAAAAATATCCACCTTAGTCTTCTGCCTAAATAGAAATGGGTCCTGTCAAAATCTAAAATCATTTTCTAATATTCTACAAATGATTTCCAAGAACATTCAATTTTGTAAAGATCTGAATAAAGCTACTTTACGATAGAGGAAAATTCGTCCTAAATCCATCCAAAGTTCTAAGAACCTTTTATTTGAATTACAAATAAAGGTCTTTATCTGAACACACATTTCATACAATAACAAAGAGTTTTAGACAGACCTTTAAGAATATTTTAAATAATTGTACTCAATTTCATCTTATTTCTCTCAAAAAATTGACATTAGTAAAGTCTTAAAAAGATGTATTTATGATTTCAGAATCGGTTTACACTATTTTTTTAAACTAATTTATTTAATTTTTATGTTATTTTTTTGTTTTGAAATATTTTCTGCGTTATTGGTATCTGCTTATTATTTCTCTAAGTGCACGCTGGGCGTAAAGCTTTTGTTAGCAATTTTTTGAGGGATTTACCGGAATGGCATCTTCATCTTGTAATCACGCGAAAAGCCCGGCCAGCGGCGTTGCCCTTCGCGGAAGGACCCAGCCCCATATACCCCTACCACACCTCCATCCCCTCCAGATCCTCACCCAAAATCCTTAATGGCCGAACCACTGAAGGGCAGAACTCACCTATGAGATGGACGGCGACGGCGGGGGGCATTACGAAGATGCCACGAGGAGGTCGGCCACCGCCAGGCTCATCACAAAGCAGTTGGTGATGGTGCGGAGGCGTCGGGTGGTCAGGATGGCCAGTATGACCAGCGTGTTCCCTATGACGGTGACCACAATGAAGGTGGCAAAGACGGCTATCAGGATTATGCCCTGCCAGGAGAGAACCAGATCGTAGAAGTGGGCCCACTCGGCGGCCGCTGCCGACTCGTTGTAGTAATTAAATGTGGTCACTGGAGCCGTGGGTCCTGGTTCGGTGAGAGCCACTGCATCGGTTCCATTGGGGAATGCACTTCCCGTCCCATTGGCCGCATCCGCATCGTAAACGATGGATATGTTTTCCGGCAGACCCGATCCCTGGCTTGGCCCAATCCCAATCCCCTTAGGGAGGAGGCCGCCACATACATGAGCGTTGGATAAATGGCGCTTGAATTATTCAGCTGCAAGTTGACAGCCATGGATCGGCCGGTTGAGTTCGTTATCGAGTGGGGCTTTCTCGGGCCTAAGTCCTTCCATATCCTTCTATACCCTGCAGCAGGAACAGGACATTTTATCGAATGCTGATCCGTTCAGCTGGAATAAAAAAGGGGTTTTTAGTTAGTGGGTTTTCTTTTAGAATCCTTATAAATACAGAGAGTCAAATTAATGGAAAAACACCCATTTATATATGTGTAACCTCTTTAATCCCATACCTAGCATTCATATTATTCTTATTTTAATTTTACGCGACACATTATCTGATTCTTTCTTTTCACAATTTCCGACTTTTAAATTGATTTCTCTTTATTGAAATACAATTTCGTTTTCCATTGCCATCGTGGAAATTGTCAATTTCATTTATTTGCAATTAATCTGCTGGATCTCGAGCTCAAGCTGCATTGCAATTTACTCGCCTTTGTGATTGAAGTGAAAGGCAGTCAAAGGGTTAGTTAAATTCTTAAGGAACTCTTTATTTTATCTGGCACATAAGTTTTTTGCTGTGCTGAATAAATATATGCAATTTAGTCACAGTTCTAACAATAGGTTTTGTGAGTAATTAATTCAATTGAGTTTATCTAAAAGTATTATAAAATCGTAGGTATTTATTTGCTTTGGAATACATAAGGGCTTTGGAGTAAATCTTTTAAATTAAAAGTTTATATATTTATAGTGATTTGGTTATGAGCAAAAGTGTATACAAGAAAAAAGTCTGCAGTCAGTCAGCAAAATGCACAGCACTTGAATTTTAGGTATTACCTACACATGTTTATATAAATATTACAAATGTCTTTAGTTTCATACAAAGTAAATATATTTCAACATGGTGGCTAATATATGCAATTATTAATAATAAATTCAACATTTTACAAATATTTTGTGGAATTTGAACAATTAAACAAGAACATTTCAACGTATAATAAATGTAATTGTTCGGTTTTCATAGGTGGATAAAAATAGGAATTTAATAAATATAATTGATACACTGTTTTCAGTTTTCCTTTTCGAATATAGTACCTCAGTTTGTGTTTTCCAACCGATTATTTCCAGTTTACATCCGCTGAGAAGTATCTCTGGGATACCCGAACCATTTCCGAAAATGATAGTCACTCGTCTGCCGCATTGGGCTATTCATCACCGAAACTTTTCCACCATTCACGATTCACTATTTCCCAAAAGTCCCCGACCCTCACGTGCACTTGGCCGATAAGATTGATACTCGACGAGCGCTCTATTAGATTTCCGCTCAAATTATGTACGGCTTTAGGTGTAGCTATTGCTTGGCTATATTGCTAGTATATTCCGGCGGAAAATGCCGGAATAATGTCGGAATATTGACGGAATACTGCCGGAATAAACGTCGCCCGACGCGGATGACTGTTGACTGAGTGCGAAAGTGCAGACCGAATGGCAAGGGCTGGCAGTTCGACACTTCTTGCCACTTCTGTTGACAATAATTTGGCATTAAGCATTATTTATTTAGCGTCCGATAGTGTGTGTTTTTGCTGATTGCGACGACTCCTTGTGAGCAAATGCCGGAAAATGCCTAGTGTGGGTGCGATAACCAAATTAAAACTGATATCGCAATAGACTCGCTGGCGGTGGTAGGCGAAAACCAAGTCGAGAAATAACCAGATGTGGGGATACGGAATGGGAATCGCTTTGGAATCGCTATAGAACTTGGTAGAGGAAGCCAAATCAAGCCGCAGGCCATAGCATTTCCCGCAAAAAGGGAATAATTTAGCTAAACAATTTGCATATTCAAATCTTTGTGTGGGATAATGGTACACAATATTAGCTTAAGACTTCAGCTCTACGAAATTACAGGAAAAGGCTGCAAGAAACGTGGGTGTGAAAATAATAAATTCTGTGTAACCATGAACATGTTAAACTAACTTTTAATTAATGTATGCTTGGATACTCTCCCCTAAATTATGAATCGCTTAAAAAGCATTTAGGGTTGATTCTCCACTTTTAAACTAGGTTTTGGGCAGGGACTTTGAAAATGCTGATATGGTAACTATTTTGTTACTGTTAAAATAGTTGTTTATTCTAAAATAATATTAACAATATGCACATAAGATATGATTTCTGATTGGTAATTTCAATGTTGAAATTTTGAATTTTTTTTTAGTTTTTTAAGGCCTTATGACACTGGCTTATTTTATGAAGTCATAGAAACCTAAACATTATGTAGTAAATAAAAATCAAAAAATGTTGTTAAGCCTTAGAACTTTAATCTCAAAGTTCTCATGACTTTTTTAAATAAATAATTTTAGATGGTCAAATATAAAGCAAGTGTCATAATGGCATAATTACTATTTACCTAACTTAAACTGGTTGATTTTTTTAGTTAGTCCAGCTTAATTAACTCCTGAAATTGGCATGTGGTTTCCCTAATGGATTGCCCTTTGAAAAAGGGTATACCCAAATTCGGTTACCCATGTTGTAACCTTTTTTTGAGGCTTTGAATGCTGACGCGGAATGGCCATAAAATAGCTTATCGCTCACATGATAGCAATCTGGATCGGGGGCGAGTTCCGGGAAGGGAACTTTTACTTTTTTATGCTGTGGCTATGTGTAAATATTTACCCAGCCCAGTGACGTACTCAAAGGTGAAACTGATTAATTAGATACGATGCAGAGCCCACGGCTGTCTGTCAGGGCCAAGGTATCGATCGGCTCTGAATGCAACGTGTCATCCCCGAAAGATAACGTCTCTTTCTTCGGCTATAATTTGGGTCTATATCGATATCTATAGAATTCCAATCTCGAGTATGCAATTAGAACCGTTGGAAATCAAGTGTATTTCGAGGGGGCTTTGGGTCTGAAAATAGATTTATGAACTCATTGGCTAAAAAGTGACTGGCCCAGAAACCAAAAACTAGAAGCCAAAGGCCGGATCGGGGGGCTGGAACCTTCTTTGGCGGCAAACCCATCCACAATTGACCGCGATAAACATTGGCGTTTTTATGAGCACTTTGATTGATAATCTGATTCCTAACTCAATTGCCAAGTTTGCACGAGCAGAGCCACCTAATCTGAGTTCCAATTCCCATTGCCATTGCCATTGCCATTGCCATTTCCATTTCCATGACAATGGCTGCAATCAGCTGGAGCTTTACCCTTTTTGTGGGGTTAATAAACAATTTCTATTTCTTCAAAGTCAACAAATTGAGTTGCCAAAATCCAATTACTTTGCTGGCAAGACCGAAACTTATGAATTTCTAATTGATACCAGACCAAGCTCATCCTTTAAAAGATCGTGGCATAAGTTTCCGCTGCTTTTGGCCTGGGTCATCAATCAGATGGGCACTCATCTCCGGCATTAGATAAATCTGTATCATTGATGTTGGTGTCCGTGGAAGATTTATTTCGCACTAAAAGTTCAACCCAAGCGGCGGCCAATAAACAATGGAACTGAGGGCTCTTTGTATACATCAGCGATGCCAACTATCCGTTTTTATAAAATAAGATATTCTCGGCTGTGAATTCAAATTAAGAGCCTTATTTGTTAAGCCATAAATCATCTGTAATGTGTTATGGTTTTAAAGAAATATTTTCATAATCTTTTAGGAAGTGTTAAACAGCTGAACTGCCCTTACTCAAAATATTTCTATTGGCAGTAAAGAGTATAAATGTTCATAAAAGGATTCTATATCTCAAGAACTCCACATTTTAAAGGCATATGTTGTCTATAGATAAAAATGTATTCAAATCTTATCTTATTTATGTTTATGATAATACGCCAACTGTAATTTATTCTCCACAAAATATGCCAGTCGGAAATGAATTCTTCAAGTGATATAAAAAAGTTTTCTCATTTTGAGTAAGGACAGATATTTTATAAAATTTGCCGACCTTGGCCAATTAAAAACGGACAGAACTGACCGGAAAGTCAAAAATTCGCCAGCACTTGTATACATATTTACTTCTTTATGCTGCCTCATCATGGCCAATTTTTTAGAGATTTTCCAGCACTTGGCAGCTGGTGGCCTTCACCTTATTCCGCTTTAATTGACCAAGCACCATTTCATTCGCGTTATTAAGAGATATTATTCGGAAATGCCAGAAGGGCACTTCAAGTGTGACAATTGCAAGGCCAGCTGAAATGACTTGGACAAGAAAGAGCTTTTTGACTTTGTGCGGAATGTTTGGAATGTGATTTGCCAGTTTTTTCTGGGGCAAAAAAAGGAGAAAAAAAATGCTGAGTTCCGTCAAAATTCATTCGACCGCCCACGCCCAGCATCCCACTTCCGTTGAACATTTGTTGCAATTTGCGGCTAACGTGGCGTATGTGTAATGTGTGTAATGTGCATGTGGAATAATATTTCATTTGCATTCGGCAAATAAACGGTGGATGGTAAACGGGGGTGCCAGTGGAGGAGGAACCACCTCCTTTCAAAAAGGACTCCTCCCCGCTGACGTCAAAACACCCAGTCAGCCAATATAAGCCACTATTTATCGAGACTGTTGGACACTTATTTGTCCTCTTTATTTGGCAGTGCCATCGAGGTGTTTAGCGTGAAAACATTTATCCATTACCCGGTCCTTGGTGCTCCTGTGATCTATGCAAATGTCAGTGAGGAAACCCCTCCTAAACCCCCATTGCAACCCCACCTGAATTGGGTGAAGGTAAAGGGTTCTGAGTTCTGAGTTCTGCAGAGAGGGTCCTTCAGCTGTGAGAAGGGTCCTCATCGCTCTGTTTACTTACTTAATGCAATCGCTTTCCTCCACAGTCCTCCTCCGCTTTCATATCAAAACATTCCGCATTGTTTTATTGACACAAAGCTGTTATTATTTTTATTGCCCAGGTGGTTATTTTTTTATGACTCTTGTCTGAGATGCCCCGGGTCCTATTTAATTGGATACTTTATAAGTGCACTACAAATGCAGTTCAAGCAGAGGCGGCCACTCATTCACTTTCATTGCATATTGGATATATGATATTTTATTTTATTTGGTTTTTTTGTTTTTCGTT